CTTTTTTGATATTGTGTTTAAATTCCTATTGGCAGCTGCTCCTATTAATTTCTTGCTTTCAGTAAGCAATATTATATATTTTTATGCCATTTTATCGTATTTTGAAGGGTAGATATGTCGTACCACGACACCTTTCATCACTTAGCACTTTAAGCGTACTGTGTTCGATAATACGTGAGTAGAGATTACTTCTGATCCGAATGAGAAATTTACTCTTTATAAATTCACAATGACATTCTTATCAGATCTCTTAAACATTTAATGAATACTGAATATACAAAAATAGGTTTCATTTTATTTTATTGTTTTTTTTTTGGAGGGGGTGATGAAATTGGTTTACCAAAACATTTTCATCTCTTTGCCCTTATCAGTTGTTTATCATTATCAGTTTACCCAGTATCACCGACAATTAACACTTCTATCACTTAAGGTGTTGATTGCGGATAATTTATTGGGAATAAAGCTTTAATAAAATAATTATTGAAATAGTAGAAGAAAAATGTTCAGAAAACTAGTTATAAACCTGTGTTCTCTAGTTTTTTCTTTTTTTTTCCAAACCAAACAATAAAATGCGAAATTCTTAACAATATATTGCTGGGTATGTTTTCCAGTTTTTTTTTTCTTTTGAGCAAATGAAGGGACATCAGGACATACTATACTTGTATTTGCTGAGACTAGTCAAAACTTGCTTAAAGATGACTGTAAATGAGGACATCAGTTTTTATTCTCATTTAAACATATCATTCTTTTGCATGTTTTATGAACTTCTGAGTTTTGGTTTTTCTGTATTAAGCTTTGTCATCTATGATGAATTCATGAGATTTTCTTGGTCGTTTATTACAAAAACAAAATTCTTTTTCTCCTTACATTTTGTACAGAACGTAAAATAATTGCAATTAACAGTGAAATTTTATATTAAAGTTAAATGTACTGCAGGTTCACACATTTTGCACTTTAGACTTGTCTACACTATTACGATAATATGTTCACTTGAAGTTTTCCCAAATTTAAAGACTTTGAAATGAAAATAGTGGATGATCACAATATTTCATATCAACTTAGTCCAAACAGTTATTTCATTCAATTGTTTGAACAAAACTTTAATTCACTTACATTGTTGAAATAACTGTATATATGTGTGAATGTGTGTATGTGTTTATATGTCGATGTGTGTAAAGAAATATTACTTTTTTATTGATACTGTTGCACCCCGCTCATCCATTGTTTTGAGTGCTCTCATACCATCTATTTTTACGGTTTGTATTTCAAGCACTTAGAGAAATGTTCTAGCAACAACCGACATAATCCAAGCTTTTTCTGGAACTGATTAACTGCTGCTTCAGTTGGAAAGTTTTTAGTTTTAGTTTTTATTGTTGATTTCTTTTTTTTCATATTTTGGGTTGGAATTTTGAAAATTATTAATGAAATCTAGGAAAAGTAAAAATTCAGTTCAATATAACCAATTTCAATTAAATATGCTACATTTGTATTTTTTTTTTTTGATTAAATATAGTACATTTCTTGTTTCTTTTATCAATCCTCATTTGTCTGAGAATTCTTATTTGAACCTGGTATCCACAGACATCAATACTTGTGAGAGTACGGAGGTAAATAGGAACTGTTTCAAAGCGATTAAGAATAATGACTGATGATGAATTAGTAAATCTTTCATCGCTAAATTATATACTAGATCATCATTCTAAATGAAAATTTCGATGAAATTATATTTTGCTAGCTAATTTTCTATAGTTATCGTATCTACAACTGATCAAAAATCAAACAAATTGGCTAAAATGTTTATCGATCCTCTCTTGAGATGCCATTTTTTATATCTCGATTAAGATGTTCTTGAGGGTGGACTGATTTTCCTATAATATCATTATTGTCTGTAAGTGATCTACGCGGGAAACCTTTGTACAGACGGCATGAATTAATTAATATTCATTTCGCCATTCATGAATCGCTATAACTCGTTAGCTTTGTCAGGGTATGTTTAGTTCCTTGTTGGTAACGTGATTTCTTAAGGTCTTACGTGTTGGTAGTATATATCCTGTAGTACAAGAATTACTTTATTTTGCAAATTTTCACTGCATCAATTGCAGCTTTTTAATGATACATGGGAAGATGGAAATTGGGATTCACCTTACTCATCTACTGATTTAATTAAATAGATGAAATTCATAAAACATACTTGGAGTGGGCTTCTTTCTATCCATTCATTATTCGCTTAAATTGATTAAAATCCTAGAAAAAGTGATTTTCTCAAGAGAAGTTCAAAACATTTTGCGAAAGTCTGTAATGGCGATGTTCTCGAGTGATCAGAAAAAATAAAATAGTCTGAGCCATATTTATAGAAACTAATTAGTTAGACGAGACTTCCTTGCATGTTTGCATGTTTCTTCTGTTGCTACATAAAGAAAATAGAGATCGAATAAGATCAAAAATTTGCAAGTTCTGCAGACAAAATGATGCATGCTTGCACTCGTCATCAATAGCGTGCATTTAGAGATTTTCGTGGTGTTTGGAGATCATGACTTCTTTTATTCATATGAGCTAATGCAGTTCTCATTTACTTATACAAGACGGTGACGGTTTATATAAAATGATGAAAGGTTTTAGAAGTTAGATGAAGCAGCAGTGCTCTTGAGTGTATTTGCAGAAAACAGCGCCATGTTCAACTGTACTTGCAGGAAACAGCGCCATGCTCAACTGTACTTGCAGAAAAGAACGCCGTGCTCAATCTTGCTTGCTTCTGTCCGCACAAAACTAACGTTACGATTACCAGCGAAAAAAATTTTTCGAATTGTAAATGTTTGCATTTTTCTCGATTAATCGTATTACCGACTTCAAAGAACAGACCAGATTTTCTGTTTTGCATGACATTTGCGCTAATTAGTTTTTAATTTGAATTGCTTTTTTTTTTGAAATGATCTCAAAGAGATGTTTTGTAAAGACTTCCGTTGGAAAAAAGAAAAATATTAAGGTAGTACTTACAGATGCCACATGTCGGAGCCCATATAAGCAGTGCCAGCATTTGTTGCCAACAATTTTTTTTTTATTAATTTTAGCCCTATCGTTGTCATATTCAAATCGTTTTCATTCCATTTTCAATCATAAATTGAGCAGTGTACGTTGAATTAATGATTCTGTGCTCTATGTCATCGCCGCCGTTAATCTTCATTAATATTCCGAATTCATTCGATAAATTTGTTAAATTTTGCCATTTCTTTTCAGGGTAGTGTCCGGAATCAGCAGTAATCGAGCTTTGTTCTGGAGTCTTTAAGGTAAATATTGCAACTGATTTTAACTAGCAACTTCAAAAAAGTCCCGGTAAACTTTGGACTTGATCATCATATTCAAATCATTCTAATCCACTCCTGAACCAAAGAACTCACTGCAATGTCTCTAGTGATTTCCTCTTAACTAAAGCTGTTTTCTCAAAACGAAAGATAAACCTTTGAATTAGCTTCTTTTACATTTTACTCGTAATATTTAATATTCATCATTTCCGGTACTTTTCATTCTCGATCACAGAACTTACAACCATGAGGGCGATGATCATTTAGTAGAACCTAAATGACCATCGTAGTGACTCATCTGAATCAACCAATGAAATATTACGTCATATTTGTCAGTTTGTAAATCTTTGCTGCTTGTCGATTTGTTTGAAATATTAATGAGATGTAATGTCTTGTGGCTAATTTTACAGTTATGGTGTGCATCTTAATCTGTGTGAATTCCATTTCTAGTAATGGGATTCGCATTATTCATTTCCTCAATACTTTTTTTAATATTATGATGAGATGTGAACTGCTCATGCACAGTGTGCGCAGAAAAGCAATAAGCGCCTCCTGGAGATATGGACGGATGTACGTGCATGACTGTGTCTCACTGTGCTCTCATCTGTGTATGTTTCAGTGAGATACGCACGTAATTGGGGACTGTTGCCTGTTAAGCTTTGGTAGTGTTCGTGTGGCGCAATGTGGAGCTGAGCGCAAAAGAGGAGGGTTGGCTCGGCTCAGCTCAGCTCATCCCGGGTGCTCTTACTTTCTTTCTCCTTTCGAGATTACACTAATAAGTTACGGTAACACCATGTCTTGCTATTTAAGATTGAAATGGCCAGGCGGTAGTTGTTGTGATATGCACGTATGTCCGTATACATAATGAAATATTCCCGCGTTTCCCTTCCGAAAGAGTTTGAGGAAATTCTCGTCAGTGGCTACGTTTAGAGAGCAAACCTGCTACGATCACCTCTACCCTTTCCCTCTCCCCGTCCCCGTACCCTCTTCTCTCCCCCTATTCCTATTTCCTTAGGTATATTCCTTTGTACTGATCATTTCCATATTACACTGTTCATTTGTCATTTGCATTTTTTGCTTTTTTCTCTTTCTCGAAAATCATTTTTAATTCCTACGAAACAAAACTTTTGCCCATTCTCTTCCCGTTTTACGCCCTCTTCTTTCAGGGAATATTTTCGGTCCTAGAATTTAACTCAATTACCGCCATATCCATTATTCTTTTTAATCAATAAGCGAAAATTTGAAACATGGTCATCTCCGTTGCATACAATGGAGAATTGAATATGACTATAAGTTGTAGTTGTGTGGATTGAAGGAACAATGTTGACTTTAAATTTTCCGCGACTTAAAGTGATTATCTGTCCCATGTAGAAGTGAGGTTGAGCTGTTTATGCTATTTGCACGGATTATCATGTGACAAGATTTTTCGTCCACGCAACGAGTGGTATTCATTTCAATTCGAGTTCTTTTTCAGCTTCTTTCTGGTACAGTCAATCGTTTGTCTCAAATCGAGGAATATACCCCATTCAAAACGTCATGTGCCCACACCTCAATATTTTTTTTACTCCTAGCTTATCTCACATTACCTGCTAATTTCTTCGCATCATTTTTAGGAAACGAGAAAGCTTGATATTTCATTGCTATTTCATTTCTGAAATTTGTAGATTTTATGGAAAAATTACAGAGTGGAAGTAGTGTCATATGATGATGCCATCGAGTTTGGGTGGCGATAGTGGAAGTGCTAAACATCATCAACACCTCATGCAATCTGCTTCCATGTTACCTTCGCCTTACAATTTTTTACCATCAGTTTTTGCAAATGCGCAGTTGGATATACCATTATTCCGACCTCCTGAATCAGTACGTTTTGATCTACGAAATTTATTTAGATGCTACCAAACAAACTTAATGCAAATCTTTATTTCAGAATTTGGGAGCAATGTATCTAAGCCAGTTAGCGGCAGCAGCAGCTCTAAATCAGGGTCAGAATAGCAACAACGGTAGCACCACAAATGAACAAGAAGAAACCGTTGGTGAAAATAATAAAGCAGAAGTAACAGCGTCAACTTCATCAGAAGTGGCGACCTCTCCATGTGATGCCGAGTCACCGTTATCACCCAAGCCATTTGGTACTGTGGATAGAGAAATGGAATCTACAAACGAACAGGATTCTGTAGATGACACTGCACTAAGGTTTTTGAGCTTCACTGATTTCCACTGTGTTCGGATCAGGAAGGTTTGGTAGTCTAATTAAGAGAGTTCGGTTTGAATTTGATTTATTTCAGCTCACCGAAAGTAAATACTGAGGATATTACCCTGACAGAGAACGAAAATTTGCAACCTCCATCAGCATCGGAGTTACAGCAACTTGATCTTTCAAAGTGGATCTCTGATTTTTTTCCAGGATTGCCAAATAATGTCTCCGCCCTGTAAGCTTACCAAAACTTAGTAAGAAACATTTGATGCTTGCTTTCACAATCTGTTGGAATTCCAGAAACATGGCTGCTTTAACACAACGAATGCCAACCATGCTGGAGCAGATGCAGCTAATGAATCAGTATTTCTCTCCCGGATCAGTTGAAGACTCTCTCCGAGTCCTAGCAGCACTTGGTAGTACCAATGGTTCTGCGGGTATGGTTCCATCAGCAAATTGCAGCCCAGGCTCAATCCTCAATTCACCATTTGCTAGTAGTGCTGGGCATTCGAAGGTAAATCCGTACTGCTTTCATTCAATCGGAATTTCTTCCTCTGTTAAGAAAAAGTGCAGGGTTATTCATTCCAACTGAAAGCCATTTTGTTGGCTATTTGAGCTGCTGAGCTACACTCCGAAGGAACCCTGTTCTTCAACTTTCCAGGATACTTATTGCGAAATATGTGACAAGAATTTTTGCAATCGCTACTTTCTTCGAACACATAAGTGGAAAAAACATGGCATTCCATTTCCGGGCAAAAACTCACCATCCGAATGCAATGTAACATCACTAGCGTCACGTTAGTTAGTCTTGTACTTACAACTGCGAATTGGTGTAATTGCTCAGCATGTGGCAAAATGGACATACATTCTGGATTTGCATGAACCGAAAGCAGTTCGGTTGTCAAGATCTGTCTTTTTTCTCACTTTAGTATTTGTTGAATTGAGGATTGGGTCACATTATCTGTTGAAATTTCGATCGTTTTGGGTCTTCCGTTTTACTTTATTATCTAAATGACTTTTTTAGCAAGTGTTTCACAGAACCTTCCTCTGGATTTGCCGACTACCTCGACGGGAATGAATATTAGTCCAGCTGAGTTTATCGCTGCACTTTGCAATCAGAATGTACTGGAAGCTTCACAGATATCTCCTTCAAAAACGACTTCATCTCAACCGACTTCTGTTATTGTCAATTGCTTATCTAGTGCGGACTCATCACCCAGTAAACGAGCGAGAGTGAATGAGGAAGGAAGTAATGATGATGAGTTACTCGGTGGAGCCAGGTAGATTTTTTTTGTCCACGTATTACCACTAACGCATAATCATTTTATTTGTTGGATAGATTAGTCGTAAATAGTATAATTATAGGTCGGAGAGTGTCAGGATTGATGAAGAAGCACTTGCTAGCGTCGCAAGTCAGTTACCAAACACAGGTGATTTATTTGCTATGATTGCTCGTCAGGCTCAAGAGAATGCGATTGCGCAGGAACTGCTATCGTCATTTAAAGGTGATGGGATACATGCACAACAACAGTCGTAAGTTATCATTTTTGTTACTTCCGATTGATATTGCATTTATGAAGTTTCTTGTACTTCATTTTCTTACTGCACCACTTAAAAAATTTTTTAAGAATCAAATTTCATTTTAGATCACCATCAAGACATTCATCGGCTAATAAAGAAGCATGCGAAATGTGTGGACAGGAGTGCGAGAGCCGAGCTACCCTGCAGCATCATTTGTTATTGCAGCATAATATCTTGAACAGCTTTCTTAACTCATTCAACTTATTGTCTCCAATGGGTCAGTTACAGCCACAACAACAGTCACAGAAGCAGCAAAATAATCAAAGTATTGATGCAGATCGACCTCGTAATTCAGCAATTGCACCAGGAATGGTTACGTCGCCCATTAGTGTTGTATGTTTTTATTTATTGTTTTTTTTTTTTTTTTCCTTCATTTTGAATTCAGTAGATTTAGTGTCTTTAATACTTGGATGTTTCGAGCCCCGATCTCTCACATTTACATTCACTGGCAGGAAAAAAAAAACATGTTTCCTTAGCTTTAGTCACGACAGCCGAAAAAACAATATACAACAACGGGCAAAAATTACTGCGATGTTTGCAACAAGGAAGTATGCAACAAATATTTCCTTCGAACGCATATGCTCAAAATGCACGGCATTGTCATTGATGAACATAAAACGATAATTGCGAACATCGATACTTTAGAGAAGGAAAAATCTGGCACGATCGCTTTTCGGTATACATTACAAGAAATTTAGTAACTAATGATGACTGGCATATTAGTTTTCCAATTGTTTCAGCTGCGATATCTGTAATAATATTATATGAATTATATGCAGGTTGAAGGAAGTCGTAGACAAAGCTCTTGCTGTAAATCTGAACAAGCAGAAAAAGGGAAAAAAGCAGATTTGCTGTTTTCTTTTCAGCTGCGATATTTGTAATACAAATGTGGGGCAGACTCGTGAATCTCTGAAGCAACACAAACAAGAAGTTCATAATGTTGTGTCATTACCAACGTCTCGTGGTCATCGCGGATCTCTAAGTTCTACCTCAAGTATCACCAGCACATCGACTCTCAGCCAAGCCCTTAAAACTTCAGATCAAAGTGGAAATAATATTGAGTAATTTTTTCCTTATCAATTTTGGAGTCGGTTTAAAACTTTGTGTATGCAGGACTTTCTCTATGAAGTTCTGTTTTTGTGAGAACTTTTTTCGACATGACTTGAGGAGCCGATAACCGAGATAATGATGCCTGGAATATTTTTTGATAGGCTAAAGTAACGATCCTGAAAAGTAATGCTTTCTGTTGGAGAAGGAAGAAAGGGAAACATACTTCCCCCTTCCGAATACTAGAAGAATTTTCTTCGGCAATCATCAGCTAAAGAGAGCGCACGAAGTACATTTGTCAGTAAAATCGATCGCGGCGGTCGTGAAGTAAATGTGACATGCGTTGTTGCTGTTGCGGTGCCTGTATAGAGTGTAGTGGAGCGAGAGAGAAAGACGTCCGTTCTTTTTTCTGGGAAATTTTGCTGAAATTGATGCCCATTCTTTGTTCTCTTTGAGCTACTCTTTACTACTGCTATTTCCTGTGCCCTGTCCTATTTGCTTAAAATATTTGATGCCCCGTATTAGTTTGTTTCTTTGATTTGATTTGGCACAAATTAGTGCCAAAAATGCAGCGTTATTCGGCTCGCTTTTTAGAAGATTTGAAGATTGCATTTGAAAGAGCATTTGCCCTTCAGACGAACCTAGTCGGGTAAGCTTTAAGAACTTATATATATATTTCTAGTAGCAAAGTGAGTTAAATTAAATTAGAGATTGGCAATGCGTATTTTCCAACTTCACATTGCTGTCTCTCTAAAGTAGAATCATAATGAAGCAACTTCTTAATTCTGATGTACGAACATTAGATTTGAGGAGAGGGTGGTGGCTGGCTGAGCTTTTGAAAATTATGTAATATGTTTTATCTTCTAGTCAATTGCGATGTCCGTTCTGTGATATAAGAACCGCTGGTGTGGTTGCAATGCAGAAACATCTTAGCGAGAAACACAGAATGGATATGGGCTTAGAATCAGTAGAGGGTTTCTTGAAGGTAAAAAACCTTTTTGTTTTTGAATAATGGTGTTTCCAGAAAACCCAGTAAATAGTCTCAGACTATTCTACTAAAGAATATTTTTGGCTTGTCTGCGACTAGTCCTCAGTTCAGCCTTATCTATAGTGATGCTTACTTTGTTAATCAATAATAAATGAGTGGCATTTTGTAAGCAGTATTCTTCCTGAACTGATTCGCTCGTTTTGAGGATGCGTATGATATTAAAATCGGGCAAAGTGCTGCAACTCTTGATGGGTCTCTTACAACGAACTTACAGCAGCAAGAACGAGGTGAATTTACCTGCTTGCACTGTGCAGATATATTCAGTGATCAAATTCAATTTCAGCTGCATATGATCCATAATCATCCCCTGGTTATACGTAGTCCAGGTTTGTTGTTACTAATCATAGCGATCGATATGAAATAATAAAGTAATGAGAGTTTAAATGACACTTGAGAAAAATCGAAATAAGGGCTGCTGAGTGGTCTAGAATATCCCTACTGTTTGGTTGCTTCTGGAATATGAGATATATTCGTGTATATCAAAGAAATAATGTTTTTACAACTTCCATGAATGATTATTATTTTTTTTTTTATTATTTTACTCTTTTTAAGATGAGACGGGTTCTCCTGCAGTGACAGTTCATGGTATGGAGCAGCTTTGTACACAGTACAGTTTCCAGTCCTCTAGTATGGCAGATTCATGGGTTGATTCTGAGAGGAAAATTGCAAATAGAAGCGCAGAAAGCATGAGAGAGGACGAAACATTAGGAGATGAGCATGGAGTGACTCATAAAGTTGTGAGTAACTGATTTTATCGTTATGTTTTTTTGATCTGTCATTTCTGCACATCATTTTAACCGATTTCCTACAGATTGTTGATTTCTGGCCTTATTCTCTTGTTGTAGGCGCTTTAGGTGTCATGGTAATATGGGACTTAACTTCTGGAATCTCAATTTCTCGAAATGCTTCCGTATTACATATTGTTTACTCTTAGTATACGAAGCCATAATAGTTAACCATCAGACGAATAAAAGTGAGAAAAGAAGTTTAGCTATGAATGGAATTATGTAGGTCAGTTTTCTTTCAGTGGGAACTTTCAGTGGGAATCTCATATAGCAATGTTACTAAATGTGATTTGTTCGCTGAGAAAGCCCGTATGAGAGTTTTGAAATCTTAGGTTTAGGAAAATTTCAATTTTAGGAGAAATTTTTTGATTGCCCGATATCATGGTGTTCACGACGATATCGTAATCCTGTTATACTGAGTAAACACATTTCTGTTGTTCATCAGTGGAGACTGAAGTTTTCACCGAAGAATGGAAAGAATAAATCTCGTGATGTTATCGTGTCTCGTAAGTTTTTGTTGTGTATTCTCCATATAAGCTTATCTCAGTTGAAACATTAGAAAAGAATTGTGAAAAGGCTGTAAATTATAGTTCTATGAAAGTGCTTATTAGTAGAGGCAGTTGAAATTATGAAAGCTTTGAGGACATCTTTGCCATGCGTCTCTCTATTTGAGCAATTAAAGATTCTGGATAGGTTGATCTCATTGGTTATAAATAACGGTTTGTGACCTATTAAATGTGCTATATTTTTTATCTGCTTTGCAGTAATGCTTACTGTGCTAAGATATTACTTGCTGCATACGTTTTTATTTTAAAATTTAACTCCTTTTTGCAATGGGTTTTAACTCTATTTTTACTTCTTAACTCTTTGACAAAAGCAAATAGATTAGGTTATACTCATATTGCTAGATCTAACATATCAGGTAAATTATGGAAGAAGCGCTATATTTGCTTGTTCGAAGGCTGCAAATATCGCTTTTGGTCACGAGACAATTGCGAAAAACATCTTTTGTGTCACATTGGGAACCAAACAAATAAAACAAAATCGAAAGGACCAATAGTGAATGGTTCGACAGAAAATGGGCGAAGTCAAGATGTCAGTAAATTGTTTGGAATGAGAAAAGGGAAAATCGTGTTGAATATAAAAAATGGTAATCGAGAAGAGCATGAGCGAAATACTTATACTGTAGGTCATTATTTGAATATAACTGCAGTTCAGAATTTTGAAAATCCAGAAATACCTTGAGAATTTTGTTGTCCAAGTATAGGCTTTGTTGAAATAGAACAAATGGTTATGTTTTTTTTTTCTTTTTTTTTCTTTTAATTTGTAAGGCATTATACATTTATAAAGCACTCAAAATATTCGTTTGTAATATGTTTTTCAAAACGTAGTCATGAGGCAACAGATTGGTAACTGAATTTGTACAGTGTTTTTGAATTTTTTTGCAAAATATAAAATCTACTTTTTTAGCCAAACTCGTTAGATTTGGATGTGATGCCAGAAGGACATGGGCAACTGTCTACAAATAAAAAACCTTATACAGTTCAAACATTTTTGGTGAGAGAGCAAATATCTCAATCATCTTCCTCAACAAATAGTGCAACAGCAGCAGTAGGTGTTTTTGATGAAATGGTTGCACATTTACCAGTGCGAAACACGGTACAAGAAATGGTACGAGTGAATGTGGAACTAGTACCAGCACCTCTACAGATTTCACCCATTTTGCATCTATGAAATAAATTCAAGTTATGCGTTTTTGCTAAGGAAGTTCTCAGCAGTCCTCCAAAGCCATTTTCTTAGGATCAGAAAGTTACTGGAATGTTTTACTCTTATGTCATCACTTTATAAGTCATTTCTGACTCTAGCGTAAGGAGCTGAGAATAATCATTTATTAATTAATGATAACTTACTTTCTTTTGGAATAAGATTTTGAAATCTTACATATTCTGATTGCTTTGGAACGTCGCAGGAGCAGCGTATCCAGCTGCATCTTCAAATATTGAAGGTAAGAAAAAACGAAGATGGAAGTTGTGATGGAGCTACTAGGCATACTTAATAGTGTTTGGCGTCTTGTCTTCCCTGCACAAGACGATTTCGGTAGCAAGAAAAAAAAAGCAATGACAAATGGTTAATCGAACAAGCAAGATCTTCAAAAAAGATTTGATGAAAACGCTTCGGTTGTGTTCAGGTCATTAGAGTTGGTAGTGCATAAGTTACGGTTCTCGATTATTTTCTGTTCATTAACAGAGCTGTTTTGATGTTATCCGTTAACATTATAAATTCGTAATCTCAGGTAACTGTAATCATTAATTCAGGAAAATTTTTAATGTATAACAAGTGATTTTGATCTTTTTTAATTGTGTCGACTAATATATTTGTGGTGAACAGTTCTAATTGCTATGTTCGTTTAATATTAATTCCAGTACTACCTGAATTCTTTTTAAATGTTCTCTGTTTAATGTGTTTTTAAAAAATTTTTTAGTTTCGATATAAGTTCAAGAAATCATTTTGGTCTCATTACTACACGAAATACATATCATATAGTTTCGTGCGCATATCTCACTTCTCAACATTAGCTTAATATAATCCATTGTTAGCCGGTTCCTTTTCTTGTATGCCGGTGTGCTGTTTGCAGCCCTAGTGACATTTCTGCTATCTGCATGTTAAATGATTGGAAGATGCCTTCACGCAAATTTTTAGAGTAATGCACAAATTTCATTAGCAATTATACTATTGGACTGCAAGCAGTGCATTGAAATTTAAATATTTAGGTTGAAGCTGTAGTAAATTTTTAAACGTGCAATATCAGCGGTGATGTACCAAAGTGGGTTTCCGCCACTGTTGATAGTTTTCTCAGAATTTAAATCTGCGGCAATCTTTTTTTTTTTTTGGACATCTTAGTGCCATATCTCTTTTTTTTGCTGTTTGTATTTTGTAAGGGAATGTGTTGTTGGATGGTTTTTTAGAAGGAAAGTTTAAGATTTATGCATGAGAAGGGGAATAAAGAGAGCGGGAGTTCGATGCTTCATCTGTCACCTCTTCCATTTGTTGATTCCTCGCTAGGATTGGATTTCGTAGATCATTTACAATGGAACTAATCTCACTTTTTATGGGTGTTCGCAAAGTACAAGTGTGTAATCTTACTAGCAAAATTGATTGGAAGTAGTTTCATTGTACAGCTTTTAATGTATTAAATAATTTACCAGTAACTCGTTAGTTGTATTTTTTTAATACAGTGTCAATTTTAGCATGTGTTTTTTAATCATTTGCACTCCATTTTTGCCCATATTTTTTGACAGTTTTCTAAAGTTGAAATAAATTCTTTCGTTTAAAGTCCGTTCCAAAAAACGTGAAATATCGATATTGACAAGATCGATGTTTAGAAAAAGAAGAAATCAGAAAGTGCGATATCGTGGTGTTGTAATCCGTTAATCATATGTCATCGTTTGTTGAAATGCTGTTCAGTCATTGCAGTACTGATGGGAACTGTTGACTATAATGACTAGTGGACACGAATGGGGAGAAATGGGTTGTGGTAGGAGGGTGTAGTTATCTAGGAGTCAGTGCTTAACGAAGATTTCTATGCATTCGGTTGGGATTGTAAATAATCTATTGCTGTGAAACCTTTGTTTTGGTCATTAGAGACCAATGAAGTGTTTCACTAAGATGTTTAATTGGTTTGTGATTAGTCACTGTAATGCGATAATACTATTTCAAACAATTCAAGGAAGGTTATGCGAGTTGGATTATAGGAGTGACTTTTTCACTTATAAGCGGATTATGCCGATGCAATTTTCACTTTTTATTACTTGGAACATCCTATGTGGTTGAATTTTTTGTCGCTATGGTTATTCACTGCTGAATGTTTTCTCATGTTGGTGTTCTATGACATCAATTTAATTTAATTATAACATTCACAACAGAAAATTAAGACGATTATCGACATTACATCATTTTGTACTTAGGGATCTGTACATTGCAGTATTTTCTTGTGCTACACTCGGTAAAAATATTTTAATATTTTTGAGCTTAAGATTCAAACCAGTTTTTTTAAAATCATGTATTTGTTCCTGGATGTTGCTCCGAAATTCGCAAGTATAAGCGTTAGTCAACATAAGTGACGTTTAATTCAATTTCATTATCTTTTTCATCAGGAAGGTTATTTCAAATTTGATAAGGACGAAACACACTTTTAATTTTTTGAGAATATTTTTCTTAGAGCTAACATTCTTAGATATTCAAAAGTTTTCCTAATGATATTCTGAAAGGATGCAATTTGCATATGACTGCGCTTGCAATTTCCCTGCAGTAAACGAGAAAATAGCAGCGAAAGTAAAATTGACCATCTGAAATGTGTGATAAATGCTCAACCTCTGCTGCTTGAAAAATGTGTCGCTGAAACAGATAGCATATCAGTGTGCTACACAGTGGAATTTGCTAATACTGCTACCATACTCTACGGTTGTACTGTCCTTAGTCAGGTATAATTGCTCTGCCAGCCTAATTCAATTTTCATTAGCCGGTGATCTTCCTCTTAACAATTATTCTTGCTAGTTCATTCAGAATTATGTCTTCTTTTTATATGAATGTTCTTCTATTTTGATCAGCACCATTTTAAAGTGCTTTTATCAATTCACCACATCTATCTCTTCCATCTTAAAACAAAACTACATAATTTCTTAACTGTGAAGGTGATGAAGGAAGTAGAAGATTCAGAAAATACCAAAAATTTTGAAGATTTGAGTCAACTTTAACAAGTGAAAAATGAATGTTGTAATAATAGGTAGTATATTTAAGCACAAAACATCGACTGATAGTATAAATTGTCACAATAATATGTTCAATAAGTGTCCTGTAACACTCAATAAATCTCGATTTCCTCCTTATCAACATTTGCAATATTGCTGCTGCAATACCACGAAGTGCAACGGAAATTACCTACACAGAAGTATTATTTTTAGATATTTTTTCAGAAGTTACAATTTTCCAATTTCTTTTATACTTCATACAAGAAAATTTTTAATTCTTAAAAGTTGTGGCAGTTAAGTTTTGAATTGAAATATAAGATAGAAACTTATGTTTATGTTTTCTCTTGAATTCATAAATGCGTTAGTGCTCCGTTTTATTAAATTAATTAAAGTTATGGAATTAAACGGAACTTAGATGGTCTTTTAGGAGAAGCAAAAGTACTTCCCAAAGGAACTGATAAAAATAGGTCAGATGCGGAAATGCCAGGTTAGCGAAAGTTTTAAATTCTAAATCAACAGTTGTTTAGGAATACCAAACTGTTTTTTCTAATTAATAAATTTCAAGTTTATGTTTTTACCATATGTTAGAAAAACACTTCTATTTACATTTCTAATAATTTATAATGTGACGGGAAAAACCGGTAAAAAAAATGGAATTGAATTAGAATGGACAAACTTAAGATTTCAAATCAACTTAAGCTTTACTGATACTAGCCTTGATGCTGTAAATTATATTGTTATTATCTACGACACCAAACCTTTACTGAAATATTTCACAGAATTGAAAAGAGCAGTACTAGATGTAAATATACCGCAAAGGATGAGTGGTGATGGTGACTCAGTGGTTACTAGTAAAGTGAGTAAGACTTCCTGGGGTCTTATCAGTGGAGTGATATGCGCAGCTGTGGTCATTGCTTGTCTCGTCGGTGCTGTCATTGTTTTAATCAACAAAAGACGACAGAAGCATCGCGCTGTGTAATAACAAGTTTATCTTTGAAAATAAAGCATCAAAAAAAATTTGATGAAGCGAACATTTTAAGTTTTCACTTTTTTTTTTTAATTATCACTTTATCAACTGAGGTATAAGATAAAATGAAATGTGTAAAAATAAAATGTGTGTGTGTGAATGAAAGCTTACGATTTTATAGTTTTTCTTGAAATTTTTTAGATTTTTCAATTGCAAGTTTTTGGATATCAGCATTTTCTCAAGAGTTCGTGGAACACTGATATTGCAGCTTGAATGCGAATGTTGGAGACATGATTACTATGCAAACAGCTGCTGATGATGATGACAATAGTGAGGACATTGTCGGGATGATTTGTACTCCAGGACAGAAATCATCTACCAATGTGATCCACTCAGATCGCACAGATACGATAGTTCCAGCGCAACTTACACTTGTGGAACAAAATGCACTGCTGCAGTGTGTAATTTCAACAAGTTCTCGTGGTTGCAAAATGAATTGCTTTACTTGCCAATTCATAACTATCATTATAGTTTTTTTCTTATTCGTTGGCAGGCCTTTTTATTGATAGTAGCTAAATTAATAATTCTCATCCAAATCATTTTTATATTATTAAGGCTTTCTAGATTAATGTTGAAATAAAATTTTCAATTTTCTTAAAATTCTAGGAGGAAAATGAGTGTTTAAGTTCAATAATTGAAAATCAGAACTTCATAAATCCGTCATAAATCAGATTTCTTTAGAAAGAAAGTTCAGACTAACTTGTTACTTTATATTTCTTTCACTTCCATTTTTCTTAAGAACAATAAAACAGAGCGGTCGATTGAAAGCGATACTGAAAGGCAAAAAGCCACCAAAAATCACACGCGTGATAACTTACGCTACGTCAGACGAAATAACTAATGCTGATTGTTCTGGAAGAGATGATCACTCCTGCAAGTCTTTCTTAATCTTAATATTGCACGATTTATTAATCATGAAGCACCGAATGATAAGAAGATATTTTCTATCTGCTTCACATGACTTTTCAATCAGAAATTATTGCATTTTACATTTTCTATATATAAGACAAAGTCAGTATTCCTCAACACTGGAAAGAACAGTATTCAGGCGCTATTGAAGTCTAGCGAGAAAACCAGTAAGGCTCCACAAAATGTTGATAATAAAGACTAGGTGATTCATAACTTCTGTTTTACAAGTTCTATAAACATTTACTTTTTATGAAATATTCAGTTTCGGAAGATTTCAATGGAGATTTATTGCTGAAGTTGATTAGGAATGGTCCAAAACAATTTTCGTTCAAATTTGAAGAAATTAGAGAAATTCTCCTTCAAGGAGCTCGAGTCTTTCTAAAAGAACCAACACTGTTGGAGGTATTTGTTAGCTCAAACAGTCAATAATTTTCTTTAAGAAAAACTGGAAAGCCAGACGACTCTTACGACTCAATTAATATGGTTAAACAATAATGAAAGTGATGCTAACTGAATGAAATGAATTTTAGGTCCCATTACCTTGTGTGGTTTATGGTGATATACATGGCCAATACAGTGATTTGCATCGATGGTTTAATTTAAATGGATGGCCAAGTCAAGTACGTAGCGTATTTCTTGGTGATTATGTTGATCGCGGCTCACATGGTATCGAAGTGGTTGCATTGCTCACTGCACTTAAAGTAGATTTTTGCTCAATTTCTGAATTGGCTTTAAATATTTAAAATTCAATTAATTCTTTAATTATCTTTTCATTTAAGGTTCGTTTCCCCAATAATATTTTCTTGTGTCGCGGTAATCACGAAGAAGAATCACTAAATCGTGCATATTCGTTTTATGAAGAAGTTTGCATGAGATTTTCTGAAAATCTCGGTAAATTTAGAATCGAAAAATGATATTTACAATCTCTGAATAATTAGTGTATAAAAGAGAATTAGAAATAGTCCATAACTATTAAAATATCACTGCAGAAGGTAGAGATGGTCGGGCATTGTATCCTTACTTTCGAACTTTGTTCAGTAATTTACCATTGGCGGTACTTATTGGTGGTCGAATTCTTGGGATGCATGGTGGCATTGGACCGAGACTTACTTCGTTGCAGGTCTGTTAATTTAGCTATTCAAGACTAGCAATATATACTATTAAATTCTGTTAGATCTGAGAAGATATCACTTTCTCTCCATGGCTCGAATATGATCTAAAACGATGATAAATTTAGGCAATCCGAGAAATTCGACGACCTTTGGAAGAATTTGAGGTTGGGTCACTGGAATGTGATTTGGTATGGTCAGATCCTGATACATCTCCAGATCGTAGTGGTTTCCGAAGTAATTTTGAGCGTGAACCATTATATGGCATTGGTCAACTATTTGCATCTGATACAGTCCAAAGTCTTTGCAAGAAGCTGGATATCGACATGTTAATTCGTGGACATCAGGCTTAGTCTTGCTTCTTTGAAAGTTAAACTTTCAAAACAGAATGTTCGCCTTCTCTGATTAAATCCAAAAAATTATGGTCTTAGATACATAATTTCAAGAAATGAATAGCAAAGGCGAAATTGAGACGAAAATTGAAATAATTATTAAAAGATATTGAAAGTGATATTGCATTACAAAACTACAACAGAGTGAATCACATATGTATATATATGAAACTATGCAAAGTAATGTTTTCAATTGGCAACTGTAAACGGTTTTGGGAAGAAGCGAGAAAAACTGAAATTCAAATAAAATTTCTTGGTTTCTTCCTCTTTAGTCTTAAAGACTTTCGTTTTTGATGCCAGCAAAATTATCTTTTTTTGAAGAAAAAATTGTGCAAGATAAAACTTACAGGAAGAGTCGTTCATTGTCTTTGAAGATTAAGTTTGATCAGTATCAAATAATCTTGATATTTTGTATTAGGATGACATTTTGTAAAAGTGTGTTCGAAAATTTTCTACTACATTTTTTGAAAATGATATATATATATAGTTTTGATAGTGCAGAATAACTCGATAGAATTTTAAAAATGATCATAATTTTCAGGCACCACTTCATGGATATGCATTATTTTCGGATGGTTGCATGTTGACTTTGTTTTCGGCTCCAGGATATAAAGGCTCATCAAACAGTGACATTAATATGGGTGCATCCCTTGAAATTTCAACCTCAATGAACATCTCAATCAAACAGGTCCGTCAACTTCTATTAATTCTAACCATGTATACTCAATAGATATTCGCGCTTATTTCTATTCACTCAGTAATCGTGTGCCAGCAGCAACCTATGAATGATGTTGGAGATCGAAGAAACTAACTGTCATGAAATTATATCAGAAGTGATAACATATAATTTGCAGATTCAGGTTACCGAGAAATTTCGCCAGAAACGAATCACTGACACTGAACAGAGAAAAGCAAAAACAAATGTCACCAGAGAACTCCCTCAATCACCGGCGAAAAGCAATGAATCGATGTCGCAGTCAACATCATCACTTTTTTGATAGACAACACTTTCAAAGCAGATGATGAAATCAGATTTGAATAAATTCAGAAAGAGCTAAAATAATTGGCAATAAGAGACATGAAAATTTTTCCATATGCATAAAGTTACACACATTAAAGCTTTCCTTAATCGTTATGCAAATTCAACATTCTAGAATTGCTTGTTTTCTGTTATTTAGAATTTTCTTAATTCAAGCACTAATTTACTGGAATACATCGTACATTAGAATAAATGATTTCAGAATGGCAATATATTGCTTACAATGGTTATAATACGCTACCATTTAGCAAGAGGAATATAAAATCTCAGTTTTCAGTGTTTTATTTTTTCGATTTTTTCGCAAAAAAATCAATTTGCTAATAACGTTCAAATAGATGTTATTCCTGAGAACTGATGATGACTGTATTTACTAGTGAGCGGTATGTTTTTACAAATATGCAGTGAATTTGATAAGAAAATTTAGTGGTTATTACGACAGTTTTTTTTTTTTTTTTGAAATTAATTAGAAAAAATCCTTTATAAAATCCTCGAAAACTACTTGTAGACTGAAAGGTAAGCCATTGTTACAGAAAGAACGGATCTTATAGCATCCTTGGGAGTTTGTCTATAATTGTTGGCGTTTGATCAGAACCGAATAATGCTATTGCTTATAAAATATGACTCTTACTCGAAATCGAAATCTGAAAACAAAATGATCGTTTTGAACTTCTACAATTTCCAATACTTGAATATAGCTGATATATGCTACTGGGGACTGATCCATATTTGCATATCAAGGTGTTTCAAACAGATGTTTTTTTGGGAATTCGAGCTCATTTGGTCAAAATGCATAGAACACTACTTTACGAGAAGGGAATTTGCGGGAAACGAAACAATGGAAATGTTGGCGAAACAGTTATTTTCAATTGTGTGTGAATATTTCTTCAGCAACTAATTTTTTTTAAGAACTCGTAAAATTAAGCCATCGAAAATTTGGAATAACAACGGAACAATCTTACTTTACATCAACCAACAATTACAATTAATCAAATCCTTTTCTTCAGTAATTTTTAAACAAATGCAGTTGCTTTGAAGTTCTTTCCACATATAATTCTAATTGATACTGGTCTTATAGCTTCTCATGTTAAAACAACATTCCCTAAAAAAGAATAACAATTCCCAACTGGTATTTCAAATGTCAGGTCTTCCATCACATTGTGCTACTAAGCAATTTACGATCTTTCGTCACATTATAATACTAAGCAATTAACGTGAAATTATCTAATTCCAAATGGTAGCGTTTGTTTTTGTATTTGTTCCGAACAAAAAATGAGCAATTTTCCGTATCACAAATTCGTTTTAAACTTCATGAAGTTGACAGTGCAACAACTATACGAATACAACGTGTATTCTTCAACGGAAGTAGCAATTTTTACACAACGACTCTAAGGTACTTTTAAGACACTCGTTTCGGTTTCGGCATAGTCGTAAAGTTCACCCGCAGGAGAACATTCACTGGAACTACTGATGGAAAGAACGCAAGAAACATCCGTATTGCAAGAGACAAAATCCATCGTTAATAACTATATCTGTATAAAGTATTCCGAAGTAAAACTTATGAGATTTCTTGACTGTCGAGAATAGATATAATAGCTGGTGATTGTATCCAAATTATTCAGACTACAGCACTGAATGAGTTGCATGTATCTTTACATAGTTGGTAGGAAGTAAATGTGCTTTAGTCGAGAAATGATTCAACTACGAAAAGTGTTTAGGGCAGCAAACCCAGACAACGCTGACTTACACAAAAGACACGCACGTTTGCAGAACAACGAAACCATCACGTCATCCCGCCCGGTAAATCATGAATGGACGATGTTTGGAATAAGGCGTGGAATGTTAGTAATGATGAGTTTGAGGACTTCGGTTAGTTTGAGATTATCTGATGGGTTGTATAGATGAGTGAGTCACTCGTCACGAGTGACTCACTCTTTCTTAGAGAAGAATCTGTAAAGAAATTGCTTTTAAAGAGGATGTGACGAGACGTTTCTCAAGTTAGCTTATCTTGATTAAAATATTCCCACCTTTAATTTTTTGATATTGGGCATTTAAGGCGAGAGGGCGTCTTATTGGGATATTTAACTATTTTATCAAGTCATTTCTTTAATTATATCTTTATTCTATAAAAAATTGAACTAAGCAGTATGAATTATGAACTATGTAAAATAGAAGAGTAATATATTGCAGGTTAAATTGGATACAAACATAAATTGAAAAAATACAAGTAGCTATGTCTGATGCTTCTTCTCTGAATTCTGTTTATGGTGATGAGGAAGAAGCAAACAATCAGGATGATGAAGATCTCGATTTTTATGCGATCTTAAACGTTCCAAGGGATGTGAGTTTTCTCCGTTCATTTATAGTTTAAAAACCATAATTCTAGTTTACCTTAATCTTAAATGGAGCATTTTTACACAGATCATGGTGAGTTGGTTTTGGTGGACGACATAATACGTTCAGATACGTGTCTTTGAATGGACTATTTGTATCCAATTTGAATAAAGTTTTAATAACATGTTCAGTTTAATTTAGACATTAACAGAAGTTATTGGATTGTAGGCAACATTGGATGAAATTAATAAATCGTATCGGCAGAAGTGTTTGATTTTCCATCCAGATCGACATCTTCATCCTGATCATAAAAAGGATGCAGAGAATTTTTTTTTTAAGTTACGCAAAGCACACGAAAGCAAGTTCTTTTTTCATGTAAATTTATGTTGCCATCTTCAAATAGTTTTGCTGAAATTAATAATTATTTAATAACACCAAAGTAATGCAAGTAACGATCAATTTAATTACTCTATTTTTATAGCACTTTCCGATCCCAAACTTCGAGCGATTTATGATACGGTTGGACTGCAAGGCCTTGAATTGCATGGCTGGGAACTCATTTCTAAGTCGGATAATGCCGAGAATATTAGACGAGAATATGAGTTTCTTAAACGTTTACGAGAAACAGAAATCATGCTGCAACGGGTTCATCCTTCCGTAAGTGTATTTATTCCAAATTAATTGTTAATGAGATACTGTTTTTTCTTTATAATTCTGTTGCATTCCATATAGTTTGGCTCTTAATTCATTTTTTTTTTCAGGGTTTGTTTGTCTGCAAAACATCTTTAACGGGAGTTTTTGCTGCGAATCCTGAGCTGAGGTTGTTCTTTATATCAGTTCCCTCAACCTAATTTTTCTTTGCGGTTAAATAAATTCGATCTCTTTTGTTTTCGAAAGAATTTGAAGGGAAATCAAGTATTGTCTTGTTCTTATTGCTTATAAATACAGTTCTAATTAGTACTAAAAAGAGCAGAAGTGCTGTAGAAATAAAACTTATGGAAAATAAATCAAAAAATGTTATTTTAGATCTCCTCCACAAGTAACTGGTTTATCTCTATCCCAGAATATCGAATGTCCTATGACAGCCAAAGACAAAGTGGGCTTAAGTGGTCGTGTAAAAATGAATAATGGTAAAGGTGATGGATCATTTATGTTGCATTGGAAAAGAATGATCTCATCATCATGTTTAGTTGAGGTATTATTTATGTGACTTAGTCTTTAGAGTATGAATATGAGGATTATGCAAAGACAAATAAATATTTGAAATAGAAACTATTTTCAGTTCAATACAACTTTTACACCAGATTCGATATTGCTAGGATTCAAGTACGCTAAAAGTATATATTTAAAAAATGCAATTGTGATACAGCCCTCAGTGCAATATTTTCCACTATATTCAGCTGTTAGTCCGGTCTGCACTTTTAGTAAGTTCACCCTACATTTCATCTTAGAACTGCATTAAAAGCACATTTTTGAGGGAAATTAATTTAGGGTAATGTATGTAAGCAGATAATAAAACGTATTTTTCAGTCCTCTCTAGGAATCTTCATCCATGTTGGCAAGGATCTGTAATATATCACTGCGGATTGCAGCCATCATTGACAACATCTTTGGTTCATACCGAATTCAATATGCCAAAGTTCCTTATTAATTTGACGGTTGGTTTTGGCTTTCTGAGCATCAGACTCTTGAAATAAAAATCGTGATGGTGAAAATTTTGAGGAATCTATATTATATTACTTATATTACTGTAACTGCTTTTAGATATCACCAGTGAATTCAAACATTCGGATGGTTTATACGAAGCGGAGTGTAGAACAGGACTCGTTTACCGAAACTTCGTGTATATTTTCATTAATGGGTATTATGCCAGCAGTTGCATTTGAAAAACGTTTATCAAGATATTCTCGAATAGGATGTAATCTGTCATTTGCTTTCCCTTCTTGTCTTTTACAAGCTAAATTTAGGTGAGCTTTGTTTGGATTTTTTAGCTTCATTAGATTTAAATATGTCCATTATTTTAGAATATCATTTTTAAATGCTGTTTTATTTTTTATTTACGAATTCCATTTAAGATTGAAGACGGGTGCCTCAGTTTACGATTATCAATTTCTCTTATGTGATAGCGAGGAAGATTTAGTACGTTCAACTTTATATGGCGTTATTATGCCGATTACAACTTTTTACTTATTGAAAGGAATTTTTGGACATGTATACGAACGTTTCATGTCATTGTTTGAAGATCACTCCGAAGAGCGGCAGGTATTCAAGCATTAATTAATAGGAGATAAAAATTATTAAAGACGAATTATAGTTATGGAACTATTTAATGAGATATTTGCTTACGTTACATCGCTTACGTAAAATATACTCATACGTAGTCATTTGTTTATCGAAGCCTTCGAAAATTCTGCGTTTAGGTAGATGCTGTTAAACGTGAAGAAGCAAGCAGTGTCATAGATCTGATGAGACGTACGGCGGAACGGATAACGAAAGAGGAAGAACAAAAGCATGGTTTAGTCATTGTTGAAGCGAAATATGGTCAAATGATTGGAGAAGGCCACAATGCATTGTCGTATCCATTGTTAGGAGATCGTATTGTTGATGTCACAGTGCCATTACAAGCTATGGTTAATGATTCACAATTGAGAATATACTCTGGAAAAGTGAGCTTTCCCATTGTTTTCATAACACTCACTATCAGTGGTTTCTGGTCTATAAATCTTTAGAAGTTTGATGACTTTGATGACATAGAATAATCTGATGTATAACTTTAAAAGTTCAACAGTAACAGTTCTATTAACAAGTTTTGAAAGCTAAAAGCTATTTCACAATCACGTGCACTATAAGATACATAAAAAGTGTTTTAAAAAATGCTTCCAACTGATGTGGCAATGCTTGGTGGTAAAAACCAAAACAAAACTAAGTCGAGTGTCAAGCCTGCTATGAACAGTTTGATTTTCAGCCACATAATTTTTAAATGGATAAACTTAGGAAACCTTACTATTATGCGATCATAATGGTTGCAAATAATGTCGGTATTGGCTAACTAGTGACTGCAAGCGTGATGCTTTTAGCATTATGCTTTGTCTTCTTCCATTGTTTATATTTTTGTGAATGTTGTATGTATTTGCAGAGTCATTTACCAGGATTTTACGATCCTTGTCCAACAGAGTCGAAAATGCTACGAGTTATTTACAAGTATAGGGATCGAATTCATTCCGTATCAGTGCCGGATGAAGTTGCTTTGCACATACCAATGACGTGTTAGTTTTTGGAGAGGCAAATTTTCCACGAAACATTGTTTAGTTCTGTATTTTGTTTACATAAATATAGTTAATTTTTTTATTCGTGAAATATTTTAAAATTTCTACTTTTTGAGCAAATAGCATATACTTCAAGTTACTTTTTTCTAGAATCTTTTGAATTTCATTTGGTTAGTTATATAGCAATGTATTTAATTTGACAGAAGAAGAATACCACTTCAAAAATTAAGAAGCGAACTTATTTTGATGTGGTGAGACCGAATATTTTTTCTGAGATTTTTCCATTACAGCTCACCGTCTGTCTTTGTAATTAGCACGATTTGGGCATATTGGGCGTGGTGTCGTGCTGAAGTGGTCGATGATCCGTTTTTTTTTTTTTTTTTTGCATCATTATCACCTCTTTTTTCTATACTTTTTTTGCCTTTGTTTCTTTTCACAATTTCTTGTAAAAGTGAATAATTTAATCATTATTATTGAGACGGGAGTCATTGTATATATAATTTGTTTAATATTGTGATTGAGGGCTTTGGCTCAATCCTTGACATAGGACTTAGAAAACAGCTCGGTGTTTTTCAAATCATTGAAATTGAGAAACAGCTAGGTAATAAAAGATGAGACAGTGGAAAAAGGGCGATGAGGATTATCAGTATAATTATTATTACTATTAATGCTATAGTGTCGTTATAGTTATTATAATAATTATTATCATTAACAATGCAATACATCATTTCTGTAAATCTGATACACTTTCTAAAACGAATTTTTAACCTTCCCTTCGAATCGAAAACCAACTTTTAAGTTAACGAAATAATGTTTTTCATTCACTGTCCAGAAAATTTTACCGTTTATTTCGCGTTTTTCTACTTTAAACTGGATAACAGTAATGTTTCATGGCATTCATGTTTGATTAATATTCTTAGCAGTCTGAAGAGGTGGTCACAGAGTTTATTCGAAAGCAAGTTGTGCTATCTTTCTGCACATTTCACATTGCATGCAATTCTTGAAGGTTTATTGCAAAAAGAGTTGCGGTTCTTTTGTAATGAAGTGCTTGTTTCTCATTATTATCTATGATATAAATTTAATCGTTTGACTAGGAATGATTGATTGTGAACACATATTTTTTTTGGTTGATTTTGATAGGGAGTTACGCTTCCTGGTTGTTTTTGCTTGTTTCGTTTTTGTTTTCAGAATAGTACTTTTAAAATTCACAGACAGTTCTCCATAAGGGAATGAGAACACAGCGATCTATTTAAAAAAAATGAAAATTTTGTTATGTTATGTGCTCTTTATGTTCGCTTTCCATCAATCGTAGAAAATGTCTACCTCTAGGTACATTTCAAAAGTGTAATAGCACTTTTTTTATTGATCGCTTTTGTAAGCAAATTTGTTTTGTAATTCAAACTAGTATCTGGAAATGAATATAGTGCTTTTGTACCTCTGGAACATCAGGAAGCTAATGGTCGCCATGTTGACAGATTAGTAATTAAGCGTATTTGCTAAACGAAACACTGTCTTGAAGGACTTAAGGACTTTCTCCTTATTAAGTGTGGCGAAAAAGTGTCTTAGAATGAATTTGTTTTATGTCATTTTTTGGATGTTCCTTTCACACTTTTACATTTGCTGACCTTAGGTTGTTCTCCAAAACTTAAATTTTGTTGTGAATGAAGATTTTGTGAATGAAAAAGTTCTTGTTTTAATCACTGGATATTTATAGTTTAATTGGTTATTTAAGTGCAATTTTTAGTTTTAATTATCTTTTAGCTTTATAATTTTCTAGCTTTAGTTAAGCTTGCAGCGGATCTAGTCCTTGATGTTTTAGCTAGGAATTAAGAAAAATTAATGTCCCTGTCTGTAATTCATACTCTCATCTCATGTTTCAGTCGAAAAAGCCACTATTTACATGATAAATCGAAAACGGGATTGTTTCCTTACAGAAACTTGATAAATTGGTGTTCGTGGTGGGATGGCATCTCGATTTCTCTCCAATAAAGTTCGAGTCCAGCATTTCCGTGTTTACTGGAAAGTAAATAATAGCTTAGGAACTCTTGTTTTTTGTTTACAATTAAGTTTTCAACCATTATTTTTTATGTTGCTGACATAACAGAAGTATTTATCGCAAATGTCAGATATTGTTGCGCATCAGACAGCTGTCACACAGACTATATATTGATCTCAATGGTCAAATTGTCACCAGTTGAGATTCGAAGTGTTGTAATAAACAAGTTCTAATGCGACCAATGTTTCGAATTTTGAGTAATTATAGCTTAGATGTTATGGCGTTTCTCAGGTTGATATACTACAGTTTTATTTCGAAGAGCGTAATTAACGAGTAAGTAGATATTTCAATATATAGTGTGGTGTTAAGAAGAGTAATTAAATTTCGCAGTGATTATTACTAAACAGTTTTAATTCCATTTTCCTTAAAATGTTTTTATAGATAGCTCGACCCGTAGCATCGTATACTATTTTCATTTGTTATTGTATTACTAAAAAATTCTTAATATGTCGGGGAAAGAAAAGTCGGATAACTGCACGCCATCAGCGCCACCAGAAGGCAATTCTTTCTCATCAAACATAGTTGGTCAAAGCACTTCTCCAGTACTATATCAGCAGCCATCAGTGCAACCTCTTCTTCTTGGTCCAGAGCCTCCGGTTAGCTGCTGTATGGAATTACCACCATACAGGTTTACTTCCTTTTATGAGCGTTTTATACTCAATAAATTGATTACTAGAAGTTTCTTTTTTCATTAGAAGAAATAATTCGAATCGCTTTAACGAAATGAGTTATTATTACCATTTCTTATCCCAAATTGTTAGTTTGTTAAATTTTGTTCGTTTTGTTCATATGAGTAAAAATACCCTGATATTAACGTATAGAGTAACTCAATCAAAATTACTGTAGGCGATGAATGTTTTTGCGATGGAGTTATTAGTCCTGCAATCGCAGTCGCCTTTTCATCACCTTATGTTTCTACCTAAATGATTAAGACAATTAGTATAGATTATCTATAAAATAATGAAAGAATCAATTAGAGAAAAACGTATTTTGCAGCGAGCCTCCTCCTTCATATCAAGCAGCTATGGCGTATCCAGTTCCTTCAGGACCATATTCGACTAATACAGATGACACGACATTTCCGAAACCTTACAGTGCTGTTCCTTCATATCATTTGCTGTCGGTTCCAAATCAGATTTTTCCACCGGCATCACCTCCTCCACTACGTTTGTTTTAATTTAAAATTATGTTTAATTTTTTACGTATCTCTCAGATAAGCACATTTGAACGAAATAAAGACAAAATTCTTTTTATACTGGTTTTGCTCAGTTTCATTTCTAAGAAAATTATATTTCTAAAGCTCTTTTATTTCGCATAATTTAAAATATGTAAAGGGGAAGTTACATTGAATAAAGTGAGTTGAAGTCAAACTGATATCACAGATTAGGAAATAAAAATCACATTTCGACAATTTGGAAGACTTATACAGGGTGGGGTACTAAATGTTCCCGATTTATTGAGCATTATATATGTTCGATGGACATTTTATATGTATAAAACAGGTAAACAAATAGGTCTCAGTTTCCTATGTCAGGCAGGAGGACATGAAGCATTTACATGAAGCATTTTCATCTTCACTTAATCTTACATTTATTAATCAGTCTTTCAGCTTCTGTGTCAACACAACCTTCTCCAGTAGCATTACCACGTGCAGGACATTGCGCGTACTGTAGAGTGAGTTCAGTTTTTTCCTCTTAAATTTCGTTCTTCCATCATAGTTATCATTATCTGACTTTACCTGCCATTTATTCATTGGGACACCTCTGCTTAGCATATCGCAGTTTACTGAGCATAAAAATGCCCTTATTTAATACTGATCTTTTTCTATTTAATATTCAATATGAGTTTGCTTTGCATTTTTCCTTTCTTTTTTAAACATACTTTGTTGTTTAGGTTTTGCATTGCTTTTCGAAACTTCATTTTCATTGCTATTGATTGATTAATTTGATTCTCTAAAAATATACTTCATACTTTTGACTGTTATTTTTCAGGTTGGAGTTGTCTCTAGTCAGACAGATTTGTTTTGTTTAATCTGTCTGGTACTGTTAGCAGTATGTACCTTTCCTGTTGGTTTACTTTTTCTGTGTTTCATCCCATGTACAATTCACAAACGATGCAGTCACTGCCGTAGGATTGGATAGTCGTATAAATAACGCTGACAACTGAACGTGCACAATTTTTATGGATTTCTGAAGTCATATAACTGATCAAATTCACTTATGCATGTAAATCAAAATTTTAGTTCATTATCCCAAAAGCTAGTTCAAATAACAAGTTCGGAATATAACCTTAACCTTGACATTAATTTTTTCTCATCAATTACAGATTAGTATGTTATCCAAAAAGTCTTTGTCGGAAATTATTGTGTACAGCGTAATAAGAATGAACTTCCCTCTACTATATGCTACAGTTAATCTAGTAGATTTGCTGGTATTGTCAAATATAGGTTCAATTTTCGAATTACAAATATTTGTTGGTTGTAATTTCGATTCATTAATATTGTGTATGGGAATTGATTATGTAACCATTACAGCTGATTTCTACAAATGTTATGTTTTTATAATCGATGCTTTCTTTCATTTTTGTTAAACTCTTTTCTATGGTTTTTTGTTTCTTCACTGATCCAGAGAAAATTTCTTTTAGATATCTTCGCTAATTTTTTGTGATATTTGAAAATGTCGTTAAAGGACAAAACCTGCATATCATTATATATGAAATGTATAATGATATATGAAGCTTACCAATTACTTTGAATGTTGTTGTCTTTACATATCAGAATGCATTCGTATCCTATAAATATAGTTTCACATTACTTTTTTATCAGTACTTGATATGAGTTACTGTTTCATTATTGTAATTCTTCCTAGCTCATGTTAAAGTATAATCTTTTCTATTTCTATGCTTTCATATGTAATAGCTTGTATGTACCTCTTGTACCTCTTGCTTGTATTCATCTTTAAACACTAAAGATTTTTCGAAGTAAAGAAATACTCCATGATCGATTTGGTTTTTTTTTTTTTTTAAATCGTATGATTCCCTATTTTTATTATATAAAAAAGAAACTAATTCAGTTCAGGTTTTTGAATTAGTTCCCGAGATAAATTGCTGTTAGGCCTTTATTTTAATCAGGGAAAGTCTTTTCTTTCATGTTTCATAAACAAAAGGGTGATACTTGCTTATCATTTTGTTAATTCGTTCTGAACAAGATTCTTCCTAAATATTATTCGGTATTTTAATTTCGTTACACGCAATACACACTAGTAATGCTGTTTCATTTTCCCCTTATGTTTTTATGGCTTTCATTCATGAGAATGATTTTTAATTAATATTAAACTAACAAATCAACACTAAAAACTAACGCATAATCAATATTATAACAACGCTCAACGAATAGATGTAATATAATTGTAAAACACTAAAATATTATCAAAATACCCAAATCACCCAAAAACATAGAATGAAATAACGGTTAGTGGGAAGGTTAGTTGGTTTATATACAGAACTAAACTGACAACCGGAAATTCGATGGGAATCATTGCCATGGATGTAAAACAGGATTGGTAACAAGGTAACAAGATTAGTTTTTTTTGTTGTGAGAAAAGAGAAAGTAATTAGCATAATTTAGCATAATGGCACAGATTAATTACAAATGCAAAAATATTTGGTGATTGACTCATCACGCATCTGGCAAAACATATTAGGATTTGAATGTAATTTAAATGTTTTTACGACAAGATCTAAGAGTTTTTTCAGTACCTTTCTAGTGATTACATAAACATTGCGGAAAAGTTAAATGTATTACCAAATCAGAGCTATCTTGTCAATCTTAAACGAATAGGAACTTTAAAAACTTGACAAGAAATATCACAAACCTATGGAAATATAATAGCATTATTAATTAGTGGGTCCAAGAGTTCTGCATTGTGACTTATTGAAAATTCGATTAAAAATTGTGATGATGAAGTTACTACTTCATTTCAATTAAGTGCTGGCATGTTTTTAAAATTTCTCAGAAAAGGCTATTATCTGGTTTTATCAGTTGTTTTTCTCTGGATTGCAGTGGTTATGACATAAAATTCTGTACAATGGGATAATATCACTTAAGTAACATGTAAAAGTCAACACTAAAACGAGTGAGAAGCAAGTTTTTCCGACTCTTACCTTCTGATATCTCAGATTGCATAGTTCGTGTTAGTTAGTTGTAGGTAGTTTACTTTCATTTACTGATTCATGGAGCAATCAAAAGTAAGATTGAAAGGTTTCCTTCTCTTTTATGTTTGTGTTTACTTTATTTTAGCAACAAAACCTTTGACCATTTTGACATGACATACAAAGGATTTCGTCAAGTCACTGATAATGAGTATATCCTGAAATATACAATGTTCTGTAATTTATTCGAAGTATTGAAATTTTTGACTTGAAATATCAAGTTCATTACTTTATAATCTTAGATATTGCTTTTAACAATAATTTAAAAGAATTCAAATAAATTTTGAATTAGGAATTCTTTTAATAATAAATAAGTACATAGAATGGCACAATCCCAGAAGTTGGTATAGATGATCTTAAAATTATTCATCAAATATGAATTGATTAATTTCTCGACACAAATCGCATAATTCACGTTAGTTAATCGTATGTAAAAGTTTACTTTCATCATTGAAAAGCATTTATACTATACTTTAACTTTCATTAGATATCGTGCTTAGGTCTTTTTACAATCTTCTCGTCAATTAATTTTTTTTTTTTTGATGGAATTTCCCGATTTTTAAGCTTGCTTTTCCTTGCACAATCCTAAATTGTTAACTATAATATGCCACATCACACATGGTCATTGATTAGTTATATTGATACTCGAGCATATATTTTTTGGTCTTTTTTCCAGTGCCAAAAAAATACAAATTACAAAAAAATGTTGTTTGAAAATATCTTAAGAGAAAAATGTAAAAAGACATTAAGAGAAAAGTGTGGAAAAAATATTCTGTTATGTCAGAAATTATATTAAAAATGTTATATTTTAATTATATTTAATTATTTGATTACCTTAATTCATTATTCGTCTTAATTACATTATGTATTTAAAAAGAGGTACACCTATTAGATAATTATCCCTCTTCCTAAGAATATTTATTATTCCTTTCGAATCTTGGGGACTTAATTTAAAAAAGAAAACCCACAAAGAATAACTTATGGAGAATAAGAAAAGTATTTTAATTTTATTAGGTTTAATTATTTTTTTATATTTTTTACGAAGAATAATTGGCAAAATTTGTAGTAAATACTTGGTATATTGTGACTCGACGGATAAATGTTTTAATGAACTAAAAAAAGAAAGAATAATTTATTACGTGAAGGTGATTATGAATTTATTTTTAAAAAGTTTAATGACATCTGAAGTGGATATATGTTGCACACTTTAGCTGAAATTGAGTGGAATTTTTTTATTTGCAGAAAAAAGTTGAAAAATTAAAATTTTTACCTTAAGGAATCTATATGAACTGCTATCTGAATTCTTCAGAATAGCTTTGTTTGCAATTAAAAAAAGTTTTCAGCTATCACTTGAACAATAAGATCAAAGAACAACTATGCTTATTGCATTTAATTAATTAGTTCTCTCTTACATCCAGTGCTTTCGCAATTAAGCAGGTGGTATTATTATTTATACACGTTACATCATTAATTTTATATTTCACATTACTATTCATTTTCTTACTAGTTTTCCTGTTGTTTTATGGCTGATAAAATGATATTCAAACTTCTTAACATTATTATTATGAATTATTATAAAGTTTTTATTAAGAAGAGTGAAAATCATAAGGCTAACGGTGCCGAAAAAAAAATACATCTTGTCATAGCTAATAGTTTCGGTAGACTGATTTTCTATTGTGATCCTTAGTATTTGTTTAAAAATATTGCATAATATCAAGGTTCATTTTAGAAGGAATCATTATGATCAAATTAATTAGCACTCAATTTAAGAAAATGAAGTAAGCATGATGAGCAAATAATATATTGTCCATCAATTAAAATATTAAAGGGAATTTAAAATCACTTCTGTCAAACGCAACCCTTTGTATTACTATCTTCATTCATTGGATGGTTCATAAACAGAAAATGAAAATTCCATCACCTTTTTATCATTTTTTTCAATGCAGCTGCAGAAAATCTAATTATCAATAAAGCATGCAAATTTAATGTATTAACGTTATAAGGATATGGCGTTAAGTGTACAAGGGAGAAAGAATGATGGTAATTAATATATTAAATTTCCTATTTGAAACTATTGAATATTACTTTCAGTGTTATCATCTATTGATTTAAGCAACGACAAATCACAGCCATGCAAATTAAATCAGTATGCCAGCACTATTTACGTAAATGCATTGAATTACTTAATTAACATCACGCTTAAACCCTTATTTTTTACAGAAAACTAATGCAAGCATTTTTTTTTTTTTGTTTACTAAACATTAAAGGTAATGTAAATCTTTTAAAATAACAGTGAAGTATCTTTCTATAACAAAAATATCAACACTGACTTCGAAGAATGAAACATATGATTGACTTAAATTTATCTATCTACAATTACGTGTTTATTTAAAAACATTCAAGTTGAATTTTAAATAGTTTATTTTTTGCGAATTAAGTTACAATTGTCGCATGATAAAAGAGAAAATCATTTAAAGATAGGTAAATAAATTTGTAAAATTAATTGATAACGAATATTTTAACATATATCAAAAAAAAAAAAAAAAAAGAAAAGAAAATGAAACCTTATATATTATTTTAAAATTCCGTTATAGTTCGATTTTGGCTCTACCAAGATGCATTTTATTCTCAAACTCGCTTCCTTTCTCAGATTGTATTTTTTTTTTTCTAAAGTTTCCTATTTCTTTACAATCGACAAACAAGTACCTTGAAGTACCGAGATTAGCAAATTCTTCTACAAAATAATTGCAAGTTCTTTCGGTAAGCTTTCTCTTTTGGATTTATGAATATCATTTTTATGAATATTTTTCACCTTCCAACAGTTCTTACTTCAAATTTTCTTCTTTCTTACTCCAGTACTTTCAGTTTTTTGGGTTCAAGAATGTTATGAATTAATTCTCAAACGTGGATGTTCAAAAATCTTTATGCACTCATATTTTCAGTAATAATATAAAAATCGATAGTCCGAAAACTGTCAAATAAAAACACTTTTATAACTTGTTTTTGAAATCATTCGTATTGTCATTAAAAAAACTGATAAACAGTTCTATAGCGGGTAGCAGAAGCTGTTAGTATCTAATTTAGCAAATAATATCTCATTGATATTCCTTACTGTGAATGTTCTAACCAAGTTTACTTTCAGAAGGGACTTTTTAGAATTTCCTTCCGTTCTTTTTATATTATTGCGCAGTAGATGACAGTGGTGACGTAGTTGAGCATCCTATATTTCAAATTAAAAAAACTTACTCAGTAGTTAAGCTATCAATAATTTAACAAAGTGTTGCCAAAATATAGAAATTTTTCATTTTGAAAAACCCATTTCTAAATAAAATTATAAAAGGAGAAAGTCATTAGTACATGAAGAAAGAAAAGAGAAAATTACATAAAAAACTATTTATTCTTTAGATGTCCTAATGCTGATTAAATTCCAGCAGTTGAAGAACATGACTAGATAGTGTGTGCTCAAATGGCATGGGAATATTTTTCAATTCTACACTCGACATTTAAAAAAATGATTTGAAAAATCTGTGTGAAAGAAATTATTAAAGCTAGAATCGTAACAAGATTGGAATTTTCTGCTGGGAGCTTTAAGAAATTGATTTTTCGGAAAAATTAAAATAAGTTTTACAGACGTTTTATACATGCATACGGATTTTCACTTTTTTTTTTCAGTTTTTTTATTCGAACAAATCAAGATTGCGTTATTTAGGTCAATGGATTATTATCCTATTTTCAGTTAGAGACGTAAGCCTAAACTAAATTAGACTTAAAAGTTGTCATTTTTACATCGGAAACATCGAAAGACAGATTTTTTTTTATCAGAATCAATAAAATAACCAATAATAATTTATGCATATTTCAGTCATTATTACCAGATTTTTTGTTAAAATTAATTTACCTTAACAGCGACTGAATATGTTAAGTTTTATTTCAATCATATTTTAATTGCCATTCCTATGCGCTGTAAGCTGCACCTCACTAACGAAAATATTTGAATTAAAACATGGATGTCACTGATGGATTAATTGGTTTGCCACACCCACGTACACAACTTCAGTGTCAAAATTATTTTCAAGAAATAAAGCAAATATTTGATAGTTATCGATGGAATAATGTCAAATGGTGTCGACTGCTTTGAATGATATCTTACTTTGTGGTAACTATTCTGACATATATGTGACTTTAAGTTTAGTCGATAACAAGGTGGTTTAATTACTGCTAAAATAATTTGTTTTACGAGAATGCTATTCTTTTCCTCTTTCACCCTCAGAGTACTCATCCCTCGTTCATTACATTTCTAGATTCCATTGAATAACATTTGACTGAATACTAATGAGAATATTTTAGAAGCAGTAGTCTCGAGAATCCTAGCAAAAGTCTCGAGAATTCTAACAGTCTATTTTTTAATCTTCTCTTGTTCTATTTTTAACCTTCTTTTCCAGAAATTACACTTTTTAACATGAAAATCTTTTAATTATTTACAGCAAGTAGCGAAAAATTAATAAAATTAAAAAAAGCGCAAAATTAATAAAGTAATTCAATTTCATTACTTTATTTCTTTCTTTCAGTTGTTTAATTTATTTGTTACTCTCAATGTTACTCTCAAACCGGAACTTTCTTTCTATGCTGCCATCTTTTATTTTAGATGCAATCAGTCTTTGATAAGAATGATACCTGCAGTATTTTTTACCTTCATAGCATAATTTTTGACATTGCAGAAATGTTTTTGGACACGAATAAAATTCCAAGCCTTTCTGAAGAAAAGCGAAATTTTGAACTTTGTCTATGAACTATCTTACAATTTAGAGAATAATTTGTTTTTGCTGCTGCAGTTCCGTGAATACGTCACATTTCAAAATAGCAGATAAAATGTGAATGACGTATGCATAATTCAGGCTGCAATCATCAAGAAGTTACCAAATATTATCATATATGATAATAATAATATCACAGTACATATGTTAATGAAGTTTTTTATCAGAAAAAAACTACGTTAATAGTTTAATAGTAAGGTGAATAACATGAAAAAAGTTCAGTTTTTGTAGTTATTAAACTGAGATCGCTGGTGTTACGAAGCTTCTGCGTCCTAATTCACGTAATCATGATGTTTTATAAATTTTTAATGAATGAATTCATTAGGAAAATGATTACAGAATAGAGAATTACTAGAAAAAAAAATGCTTCCAATGGAGATTACCAACTGATAACGTTGTTCATCCACAAGTTGCGATGACATTTCAGCCGCTTCACGCATTATTCGGATTATTTGTCGCCATCGTATCTATTTTATGTATATCAGTGTATATAATCATTCAAAAGGTACCATTTCCAAAATATTCTGTGTTAAAAGATGCGATTTATCGGTGTATGGTTAAACTGAATGATCCATTTTGTTCATATGTCGTTGATTGTTTGCAATTAATTCTTAATAAATAAATCCTAAGTTGAGTCATCACAAAAAAAAAAATGACATTTTAAGGTTTCAGTAGTAAATATGGTGTTTGACGGATAACTTACAAAGTTATTTGCATCTCGGTGTGGACTAATAATATAATTGGAAGTTTGGAAAGGAATACATTTTGTATTTTGCAGATAATCATATCGGATCGTGATCTCATAAAATATTCTACTTATAAAATCATTCTTTGTTACGGTTTTATTGATATTATTCAGCTTTGCGTTTACATATGTAACGGTATTTTTGCAATAATTGGTACTTCAATACACAAATGGATCGAAAAAGTTGGTGCATAAAATTTTTGAATACCGCATATTTTGCTTCGAAGCGATGTTTATTTGATCAAAATTCGATTTAGCCCGAAATCTGAATTTGAATTAGTGATTTTTCTGTTCAGTGACTAAAACATGTAATTATTGTATTACCAGCAGTATTTTGAGAAACTGATTCCGCAAATAACTGATAATCAAAGAATTAAAATGAAAATTTCTTAAATTTCTTTATAATTAAAAGGTCAAAAAAATTAAATCAATTTTTTTGAGCATTTCAGATTTGCGGTTTTCAACTCAGCTTTTGCTGGTACAACATTGATTCTTTGACAGTTTTGCTGGCCATAAATCGATTAGCATTATTATACTTTGGTGCGCCGGCCGAGTTTTTTTTCAATCCAAGAATGACTTCGGTTTCTTAATCGACTTAAGATTATTTTTAATAAGTTTAAATTGATTAAATCACTTAACTACCTACATTTAAGTAAATGAAATATTATTAGCATCGTCATTCCACCGTCATTTCACCTCACTTCTTATTCCCTCGATATTTCCAAAAATTGTCAGTGCTTTTCATTTAAGATAAAATTTATACTGCAGCAATAAAATGATCTGTAATGAAAATAGTAACAATAAAAAAAGACGATAATGTCATAATATCTCATTATTTCCACTCACGAAATGATGATTACTGGTAGTATTGGGACCCAATCATGACAAGCAAACCTACAATGCTATAACAGTGTGTCTGTCATTATTCCATTTCAGTTCATACTGTGTTTTACAATTGCCATACCATCAGTATTTTCACTTATTTGGTTGACACCTTACGCCACTTATGGATTCAGCGCGGAAAAGTTGATGTGGGTATATGATAGTCCCGATTTCATGCCTTCCTTCGATCGCATAACTACTTTGGGAACTAGCATACTGTCTACTACCTGCTACATTCTCCTATTGGGACTGGTTTTAAATAAAGTTAGTCTTTTTTTTTGTATTATATATCATTGAAATAAAGTTCATTTCTTTATAAATGAGAAATAGCAAATCACACATTTGTTTATTCATAATTACTAACTTATAATTAAATGTGCTCTGAAAACTTATATAATTTATTTAAATAGCTCTATTTGTAGGGTTTACATATTGACATGAAATAATATAACTTTAAATTTCTAAAGTAATTCCATTTTTTTTTATTTTCGTGAGATTTAAGTATTAAATTTAAAATTGTGGAACGTGCGAACTTTAAAATTTTTTTTAGTTAAATTTAAGTGTAAATGAACTGAGAGAGAGAGAGAGAGAGCGATCTTGCTAACCACGCTATCAGTGGCGTAGAACACGAGAAAATATAGCAATAATTTTAGAGTTCTTCAACAAGTAATAAACTAAGTGACAGTTCAAGACGTCGAGATACACTGTTAACGCTACAAGTAATAATCAATGGAAGTTATACTATCTGTGTTTCCACCTATTTCATGTTCTTAAGGCCTTACTATGTACCTTATACTACAATATATAACGCAGTTGATATTATTTTATGTGTATTGTGGAATGGAAAAAGTCCTATCATGCATTTATTCTTCAATCGGTAAAATTTATAACTTTCAATTAAAATCACCTTAAAGATGATATAAATTTGATGCTTGACTAATTCATATCTGTTTCACCTCAGTCATTTTAACTGCTTTTAATAAATGACAAATTAGATTGAAAGTATGAGTAAAATCAACATTATATATCATTTCAGATATATACGTGCAAATTTTCTTGAGAATATTCGGAACCGAAAAATTTTCTCCTTAATTATAAATGTGCTGCTGCGCTTACGACACAAAATATCTGTCAGTAGCTTGCCCTTAAATCGAGTGGTACCGGTGAAGGCGGATTATGTCGACGAATGTGAGCGATATAATCCACAGTTTAAGCAAACTTTTATCGTTACTGCAAAAGCAACTACGAATGTGCACCATTAATCGATCTAAAAAACAAAATATAGAAAGTATAAAGAAAAAGTTGGAATATCGGAAAAAAATGGGAAAATGAAATTATGGACAGAAGTTATTTCGAAATGCTTCGTAGTTGTAAACTTGGAGCTTTAAGCATAAACGAAATAAAGCTAATTAGTTTCACTTCAGTTTGCTGTTGAAGCATAATCACTATCAATCATTATCAACAATATTGTAACAATGAGAACAGAGGAACATTTACTTGGTTGTTTTGTAACTAAAGATTTGTACGGATCAGAAATAGTATACATATACTTTTAAGCAAGGATGGAATTTTCTTTCTCATATTAAGTGAAGAAGTTGAAATTGGATATTTAATAACAATTAATAAACATGTGTTTTCTGAGTGTTCTTCCAAGACAATTCAAAACCCTCATTTTTTTTTCTTGAACGCGAAAAAGTCTTGAAAAGAAGAAAAAGATCTTATTTTACAATATGTTTCACGAGAAAATGCTTGATGTTGTACACTTTAACAAAGACTAATAAACTTATAGTTATGTGATATATTCATTAAATTAACAATAGCAGCAGAAAGATGATGGTAATTTGAATTGACTCCAACGTCAAAATAAGAAAAATTTTATGAAATTAATAATGTGCAATGCTACTGTAATGTCATGAAATGATTTTAGAAGATAATAACTATTAATATTCCAAACAATAATCTCTATTCTATTGATCTCTGACGATTGCGAAAAAAGCCTACTGCTTTGAAATATATTGGAAAATATCAAATGTTAAATAAAACTTAACATTCTACCAGACATTAACGAAGTAACTAATATTCGAGAATAATAGTGATTGTGGATACAGCGAATCACATTAATGTTGCATTTCACCACTGAATCATGATAAATACTGTATCTAATTTCCTCTCTTTACTGACCTCAATACAGTCAGTCTTCTTGAGAAAGTAAATCGCATAGATATAATTCGTAATAACAATTAAAATAATAACTATTAAAAATACAATTAGATTTGAATATGTTTATTCATATCACTGGAATGAATCATGAAAACGGTAAGAATAACTTATTCCTGTTATTAAAACGTAAATATGCGCAATGGATATATCTTATATAGCATTTTTCTGTGCAGTGTAATCGTACCACACATAAGCTTCAGGAATATATTACCTGCAATTTTGCATATTTCAAAATATTTCAAATTTCAAAGTTTTTCAATTTTTTCAATTTACTTGGTTGTTTCATAGATATAATTGGTAATAACAATTAAAATACACATATTTCAAAATTTTCAACTGGTTTTTAGTATTAGAATGATTTAGTCTCTTTTATTTTCCTTGGGATTTAAAAACTACTTTTATTTACTTTTTGAAGTCTAAAAGACACTGAACAGGGTTTTCAAAAAATTACTTCGTATTTATCGATCTTCTACGCACTCTTCTCCCTCCCTCGGTAGTTTCATCAGTAGTCATTGTGGGCGTTTCTACAGGTTCTGCTTCCTCTGTTGTTTCGTCCAACATTTGCTGCAATAAATTCAAAGAACTTGATTCATTTATTAAATTTCGAATACTGTTGAATTTGAAATGCACATAATCTTAACATATGAAAAATTAAGAACTAACCTCTATTTTGATATATCCCATTCGTTTCACATTAGGTATACGATTTACTGCACATTCGGCAACTGGTGGTGGTTTTAGATCACCCTTTTGCATATCATGCAATTTCTTGCATATAATTTTGAAATTTGGTCTATTATCTACATTTTTTACCCTGAAATGATTGAAGAAGAGCAATACAAAGCAGTAATAATATGAGATAGTCAAGAAACTTTTTAATCAATGATTAGTTGAACAAGAGCCATTATGGGCGAGGAATGAAATATGGTAAACGATAATAGAAATGTGATATATCCCATTCGTTTCACATATTTGGAGTATTTCACAAAAAGCAACAATATGGGTTTTAATGAGAAATTTGAGAAAATCATTGAAAAACTGAACCATATAGTTGAAACTAAAGCTTTAATTGATGGTGGTGTTATTGATGGCATTTCTGGCATTCGAATATGCCGAATATTTGTAGCTATCCTTTTATTTTCATCATCTGGCCATGGCTTTATGCCCAAGTTGAAAATCTTAAATGATATATAACATATGAAATTTAAATGATTTTATGGAAAGGATAAAACTTATCAAAAGTTAATGAAAAAAAGAAAAAAGATTGCAGTTGACAAATAGCGTCAAACCTCATATAATAGAACCCCAAATGACCATACATCACTCTTCTTCGAGAAGTGGGGATTTTTTACGAGCGTTTCTGGTGCCATCCACCTAAATATGAGAATACAAGTTGACGATGCTAATGTTTGAATTTTGAGCAAGTGATAGAATACTTTTCACTGATTATTTTTTCGCATCTATTTTTCTGTATGGAATTTTCATTGAACATCAAGTTATTCAGTATTAAGATTGGGATTACATAATAACAATAGACAATGTATATATGTAAAAGAAACTGTACATTGCATATAAATACTTAAAGGAATTTTTGATAAATCTAACCTTATTGGAATACCGTTCAATTCAATACCATTCTCTCTTTCAAGTGTGTCTGCTTTACTTAGACCGAAATCTGAAATTTTCACCAAACCCGTCATCGAAATAAGACAATTACGTGCAGCAAGATCACGGTGGAGACAACCCTGCATATGCAAATACCGCATACCAAGTGCTGCCTGCAAATTTACTTTAGAACTTGGTGAAGCCTCTTAATCTTTCGAAATTTCTAAAAATTCCTTGATTTTAAGTCCAATTCAAACTAGTACTCAAGCTATATATTTTTTTCTCCTTTTTCTCCAATTCAAGCTATATTTTTACTATTTAGGAAAAAAAAAGAATCCATGCAACCTCTAAACAATATTCAATTCGTTCGCCGATGACGATATTTTCCTTTTGCTTTTTGAGATGATTTTCCAAACTACCACCAGGACAATACTCCATCACAATGGCTATTGGTGGTCGATCGCATGCTACTCCATAAAACTACAATATACTGCATTCACTGCTTCAAATGTTTCATTTTAAAGAAAAATATGCTAACCTGAACAATGTTTTCATGATTATAAAAACTCATAATTTTGCCTTCCCTTATCATTGATTGCTTCGCTTCGCGTCCACCACCTTTTTCAGGCTTTATAATCTATAAAGTATTTTTTTTTAGTTAAAGTTATTAATTGAAGTTCAAAAAATTAAAAACAAACATTAAAATGATAGAAGAGACAAGTTATATTGATTTGACCTTGATTGCCACCGGAATTATTTGCTTATTGCCATCTTTCTCACAAGTAAATGTGCCAAGATAGACATCCGCAAAATTTCCTGAACCAAGTGGCAACTGAAAATCTTTGTTGTTAAGAACTTAATTTTCACTGGGACCATTTTTGGGGTTCTACTCTATTTGCCTCATATTGGCATAATCTTTTAATGTCCTTACATATCGTAATGCATTATAACATTTCTTGAGACCTGACATATCTAACTTTCTTCAGTAATTAGAAGCTGATAGTACCAAATAAAAAATGATTTTGAAGATATCAAGAAATGATTCGTGACATGATCAAATTTAAATAACGATGTGGGCGGAAACCACTCTCAGGTCTCTCAGCTGAAAACATTTAAATGACATGCTTTATTTTTGTCGTAATTGATCGCTTCATGTTTAACAAGCCATTTAGGCTTGGGTACTCCATCTCCAAGACGAATATCTTTGCCGCTTGCATCTTTTATCTTGATTTTATGCATCTGAAAGCGAATTTCGCTGGTATATTGATTCGAAAACACCAAGAATGAGTACTTCAGATATTCATTTTCAAAAAATAAACCTTATAATATTGGACCAAGTCGTAAATCGAGGGAAACCTAGGCCCTCTTCGTAGTACTGACAGTTGAAAATGGCCATCTTCCGTCCTACAGAATATTTCAGTGTGATAGAACACAGGAGAATCTTACAAATAATGAATGATTAGTTATAGGAAATTTTGTGAATATTTGAAAATTTTCAAACATAAAAGCATGACATTAAATAAAACCAACACAGCAATAGTTAGATGAATATTTCTTTCACCGACATGTATACTGAGAACAATTTGATGTACTCCTTGATTGTCCGTTACACGCACCAAAAAGTCTCCATTCTTAACCAGCAACTTCCTCAAATTGAATTCGTAACCCAAAAGGATGCGATGTATATCTTTAAAGTCTAATTCTCATCCTAAATAATAATTATCTGCTAATTAGGTTGTTGATACCTCGAACAGTTTGGTCTTTGTCAGCAGTCTTGCTTATCTTCTAAATACAACAAGGTCCATTTTAATTATAAATTCATTGGATTTAATTATATCCATTAATCATATATTCATTGAATGCCACATACTCATAAATGGTTATAATATAAAGCATATTAATGGGTTAAAATACAGTTATACCGCAAATGTTTCCAGAAATTTAAAAAGCCTGACTCGATGTCTTCTCTGGACAGTAAACCATGATACCAATGTTGATCTTCTAATTCCTTTCGCTGCTGTTTCCTTGACTCCTTGGCGATATCTCCTTTCTTACCTAAGATTTGCACATCTGAATAATTTACTATGCACTGAGGGCAAAATACTGATATTTCACCTTGAACGGCATCCGAGAAGTTATTATTGCAATAGAGGGAAGAAAGATTTCTATCTGTCTATCTGGGTCTCCATTTGCCGACCATAACGTTCCAGCGAAACCATATGTGCAATTACGCCAGATTTCCTCCCCTTACTACTTCCCAGGCAATTTTGAACACTTAAAAATCAGATTTGCAATTGTTGGCTGAAATACATATATCAACTCCCATTCAAGCAGTTACCATACCTGCCATTATCCGGCTGCCTACTGCGAACAGAAACAATGGCAAAAGCCGCCCTCGCGAATTCTTCAAATAAAAATGAATTTACTTACTATCTCCTATCATGAAATTTATAAGTTTTTAAAAATTTAAAAAATGATATTTATAAGTCTGCAAAAAACGCAAGATCGGCGGCGGTTATTCAAAAATCGTAACACACTTCAAGCAGTAATACAACTCATGAGAGGTTACAAGAGCGATATTGATTCAACATAATTTAAATACGCTTTCATGATCCAAAAGTTGGACAGTTAATATAATGTAGAATATCCGACTAAAATTTAACATATTTTGGAGACAACATAAGATTCTCGGAGTCTACGTGCAGCAGAAAACTCTCTTAACAAAATTTAATGCAATTTACAATGAAATTGCCACATATGTTTATTATTTGTTATTATTGATTGTTATTATTATTTATTATTAATAATAATTATTATTATTAATTATTACTATTATTATATTGCTGTAATGTTATTATGGTAATTTAATTGATGAAATTTATACATTAATTTGAAAAGTAAAAATAACGGAAACAAATATCTGAAACATATCCGTACAATACAGTAACAAAAAAATCGTGATAAGTTATCATTTCAACCGAAAACAAATCGCACATTTCCTACTCACAATTTCGAATCTTTCACCTACAAAATTTTTGGTCAAGAACTGTCATAAAATTGATAAGTCAGATACATCACGTAATGCGTGATATCACGTAAGTATATCATCAGTAAATATTAAACAATCTTCAGAAGAACTTGAAATTAGTCATGTTTCCGATATTTACTTTTATATTTAATCACTTCAATTTCCTGTTTCCCTTTACGTTGGTCTCCTTTGCTTTTTCTACCTCTGACTTCATTATCCTGACTCACTTCCTCATTATTTGTATGTTTTCCTTGATTTTCCAAATCGCTTGAATCACTTCTTCGTCTTTTCCCCTTATCACTACATTTACGTTCTTCTATTTCATTCTCTTCCCGTCTATTTCTATCGCGCTTTTTCCTCTTATTCCGTTGTTCCTTAGTATCCTCTCTTCCAGTAATGTATCCTTTGTGTTTCTCTCCATTTGATTCATTCCTTTCATTACCGGTTCGTTTCTCTTCATGTTTGCTTCCCATTTTCCTGTCATTTATGCTGTCATAACTTCGTATTTTCATTTTTTCTCCGTCATTTTTTCTTTTCTCACTTACTACTTTGCTTACTCCACCGTGAGATCCATTTTCCCAATCACTTCCATTCTCCCGACCAATATTTTTCGAGAAGTGATTTTTTTTTTGGACAATTTTTGGTATTTTTTTCTTTTCGTTTTTTTGTAAGCCTTTCATTTTATGTTTCGATTTTTCATTATCACTGCTGTCACTGGTCTCTGATGAAGCTAAAAAATCTGGTGTAATTAAATTATCCCTTCTTTAAAAGGAATACTGGTAAGAGAGAGTGGAAGAATCGCTAACTAAAAAACAAATTTCGAGAACTAACATGTGCTGGAAATCGAGTCACTACTACTTTCATCCGAATCTGAGTCACTTGATGAGTTTTCTGAAGACGACGAAATTTCTTCTTTTGCTTGAGCTCTTTTTCGAGCTTGATTCAAATGCAATCTTAGATCGACTCTAAAAGCAGTAACGAAAAGAAAAAGGAAAAAACGCATTGTTTTGGATATAACTGCTGCTCATTCATTATCAAAACGGTCATAAACTATGTTCGAACCTTTTTAGGTTCGTGAAACAACATTGTGGCAACAAAAAAATGAATAAATTATGCACCACAACATTTTCAATATAACATGGTCATCACTGTGATATAAAAAATGAAGAAAATATTAAAGTCAGAGATCTTGCTTGAGATACTCAAAATATTTCAAAAAAAAAAAAAACTCTCAAAATACCGCATTTTTTTAAATGAAAAATTCACTTACGTAAGATATCCGAGACCTATCGTAGTAAAGAAATTGATTGAAAAGCGTGTATTATTCGGATTATCACGCGGGAATATTTTATCGAAGGAAGACTGCATTGTCCTAAAATGCACTAAAATACATATAAAACTCACCGCTAGATCATTAATATTTATTGTTATAAAAGAAAATTTGTGGTAAAAAGAGAACAGTTTAAGATGGAAAAAATGAGATGTTACTAAACAAACTATTTTCGAAAATCTTAAATAATGGGAGTAGCCTATGGATCGAGGGAATAACCTACGGGTCGCGAATTCTCTGCAATAGATTTTCCACGCCTAAAAATTCGGCAAGTTCTTGGAACACTATTTTAATGTATATTCGCCCAGAAGAAGTTGTGTCCTCCTCATTTAATGATATCTGGTCCAAGATCTAGAAGAAATAAAAATAAAGAAACTCTATAGGCGATAAAGTTGAAATAAAGAAGGCAGTCCATCAGTTGATGTCTGAAAAAAAAAAAAAAAAAAAACTACAAAACAAGCTGCTTCCTCTTCAATTTTCGAAAACAAAAAAACAAATAACAGAGGAATTTCTTCTTATAGAATAATGCAATCATTTGTGTAAAAACTTACATCCCATGAAATAGCATCGGTTGAAAGAAGATGAGCCACTAAGCAGGCCATATTGCGAAGTTTGTTATACTCAAATCGATGTATGGTATTGTAAGTATCGCGAGCAATCCGCTCGAAAGCTTCTTGAAATTCCTTGCGAAGCCGGCAAAATCGCTCCGCAAGTAAACCATAAAATTTTTCGTAGGTTCTTTGCTGAGCACAGCAATCCACAATCATATTGCAAAGCTCCACCTAAGTAACAAGGAAATCAGTATTTTTTGCTACGAATTATATCATGACGAAGATAATGTAGGAGTAAAAACTGACATCTTGACCACTTTTCAAATCAATTTTAAGTAATTTATGAGCTGCTTCCTGAAAGTCGAGGGAAGACTGAATTGTCAAGTAAATGTTGCGTCGAAATGCCACCAAGTTCTGCTCTGTGTTGTCGATGATCACCATACTTTGTTTCTCCTCTAAATCAAAATTAATTTGAAATTAAGAACCGATTCATTCCAAAGAAAATAAACTTAATATAGCAAACCATGTAAAATAATTATGTTAGCACAAAATTCTTAAAACCTTGTTGAGTTTCTGTTGTCTCTTCATCTGGTGTTTCTTCCCCTTCCGCTTCATCCGAGTCTCCCTCTGCCAAACCAATTGCATCGCGTCGAATTTCTTCGTATTCTGCCTCATGTTTTTCAAATTCAGGATCATATTTGAATACATCTGAAACAGAAAAGGAATTAAATTATAATGAAGCAGATCTAAACTATTAAATTTAAAGTATGAAATATTGGTAAAAGTGACAATAGCACTGTCATCAATGTCAATGCCAATAACTGGAGCTTACTTAATTCATTTTCTGGAACAAGTGGGTCCTCCAGCGTGACGGTATGCGTTATCTGATCGTCTTCTTCTATCAAATCCAAATCATCAATCAGTGCTGGATAAGCCTTTAAAAAAAAACTGGTAGCTGGCAGCCTAATAGTTCAAAGAATCTCCGAATTACAACTGCCTTTAAATGACGTATGTTCGTCATTTTTCCAATTATATATACAGGCCACTACAAATAAAAGTGATGACTTCCTCAACTCTAAAAATTATTCTGAACTGCTTCATAACAGTACCATATAATTTCGTAACTTTATGAAAAAAATTGCAATAAATTGCACCTGGAATTTATCTTTCCGGATATGAAAAATAACTTCGATCATGTATTGAATTCTTTTGTCTATATCCGAATCACTCAGAATACTTCGTAACCGATCAAAGATTGCTGAAAATTTTTTCAAAGATTGAAAAATTTCCATTTTTTAAAAAAGAAAACCACAAGGGAACCCCACCTTCACTTGGAAATGTAAAGCTTAGCTACAAAGAACAATATTCGTGAATAAAATTTACCATTTAAACCACGAGGAGAAATTTCAGACAGTTTAGCACCGCATTCTTTCAAAAACGCTACTGTGACCTCTACTGAATCATCAGTTGGGTTTTCAAGCATCAATATCATCATTTCCAATGCAAGGATTTCGTGAATCTGCAACCAAGAATTTTTGTAGATCAGGAAGATGCATCCACTAGATACAAATTTGCTATGCATTATGTATACTGCTATTCATGACAAAGCTATGCATTATGTATACTGCTATTCATGACTATTAAAACAAAAAAAAAAAAAAAAGTGGAAGCACTGAACTATGCAAGTCAACATGATCCTTTACTTAATACTGGTAAAGATTTTCACGCTGATAAAATCTGAACAGTTGATGAAAAGAAGATAGAAAAAGAATATTCACCACTTGCTGGTTGATAAGATGAGCAATAAATTTGGATATTGTAACAGTAGAAGCTTTGTCATTTCTCTTATAACACCTTTTAAATTGTATCAGTAATCGATGAATAATTAACATTCCAATATTTGGAAAATGACTATTAATAACAGCAACTACTGCTGCATATACATTAGAGAATGTTGGTGAATATGACTGTGCTTGGATTATTGATCGTGCCAACAAACCTCTGAAAGTACTTATGTCATATTTTCAAGCAAAAGGAAATTATTTTACAAAGCATTTTTAAATTAATGTAAAGAATCCACACAGTTGCTTGATTACATCAAAATTAACATTTATAGCAAAGATAAAATAAGACTGACAAATCAATTACCATATCTCATACTCTTCTATACACATTAAATTCATAATTTTAAGAAAAAAAAAGCATATAAAAGGACAAATTTTCAAAAAACCCTCTCACCTTCCTCGAATGACGTTCTCACGCAACAAATCTCGTATAACATTAAGCAAATTACTGGTATTCGCTTTGTTCACCTAAAAAAATGCTGACGATAAAAAGTCATTATATCATAATATCACCGTGTCAAACTTATGAAAAATGCACTTGGCCATGAATCCGTTTTTTCAGACGCTCCCAGTTCAGTCTTTGATACATTTCACTGTTCTTATCACTGATCTGCTCTTGCATCATTTTAAGTTTAGCTGGTGGGATATATGCACCACCCGTGCGAGTATGCAACAAATCCATGTCTTTCTTTGGTTTTTGAGCCTTTTCCAGTTCCAATGACATCTTTGATTCCTCAAATATTCCTTTCAATCTATAATAACTCAGACATATGGTATCTCAACACAAAGAACAAAAATATTAAAAAATATGATGAGGAATGTTGTATTTAATAAAATCTTTGTCAAAACCGCAATAATGATTTATGTAAATAGAATCAATGTTTATATACTCATTCACAATTAAGCCATATGTTATGGCTTGGCAAAAACCAAAGCACTAAGCACAGTTATCTGCTAACCGTTAATCTTCCTACAGATTTCCTCATGTTTTTCATTTCGACAAAAAAGTTCAACAAAGAAGAACGGTAAAGAAATGGACTTCCCTATATCCAATTCAACAATTTCCCAACACGATAATTTAGCAATCACATTCTAATTTCAATAATCATTTCTAAACCAATGTTTCTATTTTGTACTACAAAGTTACAAGCGTTCGCATAAAGTGTCCAGCTCAAAGTGTTACTGAATGCTAACACTCACATACTCATTGTGTTAATATTGCTTCTTACTCAATCAAGATCCTTACAATGAACGAATCAGTATCAGTCCATAACCCCAATTGATTTCAGACTATAAGACTACACTTCTTCATCCTAACTGCTCACCAGTAACCAGCAACCTTACCTATCCCTGCAGTTGTCTCCACCTAAATCTCAGGTATAGGACCCCACAAGCAATTAAACAATTCTAGAGAGGACACCCTCGTTCATATTGCTTAGTTGGAAAAGACGTGCCACCGAATAGAGGTCGGCCAGTATGGTTGGTGAGAGACGTAAATTATTTCGCTGAAATTATTTTGGAAAATTCCTGGAATTTTGTCCATGAAGGATAAGAAGTGGGTAAGTTGTAAGAAATACTGTTTTAAACTTTGTTACAATTCATTTAAACACAGTATTGTCTGTATTTGTTGAATTTATTTGTCTCGTTAAAGCACGGAAAAAAATCGTATTCATTTCGGAGCAAGAAGGCTCGAATTCAAACTTCAAGTATTGTCTCCAATGAAGACACATGTTGTACGCTTTTGAACCCCAATAAACAACTTAATCGTTACAGCAGCACGATCTCCTGTGTCTCTTCTTCATCCAGTTCGAGGTTTCAAATCAAATTTTTAAACTTCTTGGTTTCTGTAATATTCCGTAATATGCAAGTTGTTTTAGGTCTTCATCTGTAAAAAAAGGAGCAATTCAGGGTGATTTCTTATCATCTCTCAAATTACATTCTGAAGGTATGTGATTTTTCTTTGATAGTTATTCAGTAATCCTGTTATGCACAACATTCATGGAGAAATTAGTAGGATTTATTGCTTTGGATTTAAGAAAAAAGAGATTTTACTACTAGCTAAATGTACGCCTTTCATGCTGCATACGTTTCTGTCGAAATCATTATTGCATGCTATTATTTTTGTCATTATAGTATCCCATTTCGATCATTTATTGTCTTCCGATAAGGATGAAGTAATTTGAAATATTTGATTGATTTATACTTATATGTAATTTATTTAGTGAGATAGGAGCATTAAAAAATTTCATTGTACAATCTACTAGTACAGTAAGGGATATAAACATCTAATTTCTAAAATAGAAATAGCCCGAGGGTATAAGTCTTTCAGAAAAGTTGAAGTCGATTTCATTTTACATTGACAATAGAGAAGAGATGGTTCGCCATATGTTTGCATCACTTCATAAAAGAGAACTTTATGAGTTGTTGCCGGAAAACTTAAAGGTTTGCTGTCATATATTGCTGATTATATATATATATATATATGACTATACACTATATATATATATATATATATATTTTTTTTTTCTGAAGCACTTTTACTACATTTAAGAATTTGGAAATAGCAGAGCTTCGCTATTTATGTGTTAAAGAGCTGAATGGGATGTCTAAAAAGAATATATACACTATTTTGAAGGGTTGGTTCAATCATTGTTAACTTTTTTGTAGATTTTCGCAAAGGCAATAGGCTGGTCATTGTATATATTTGCTTTTACTATTAAATACAATTAGTAACTTTGACTTATTTGTTTGTAGGGTTATTCGCTTCAGTATTTTATCGGATTACTTCCTTGCGTATTTGTAATCCTCTTATTTAATTAAGAAAAAAGGATCATGTAGCACTCTTTTATTATAACTATTATGTTTAGGGAAAGATTTTGTCGAAAGTGAATCTGAAGGAGAGAAAAACGAAGCACTTACTACGAGTACTGATATTAAAAGTATGTTCATTAGGTGTTCTACATTATCATTTTGATCGTTTGTGATTTTTTTTTTTTTCATTTTGATGTTTTAAGCACTGAAAACTGAGGTTGCTGTTGCTGATTCTACAACAGAAATGACTGCACCGAATTTACCTGGGTATGTTTATATAATTCGAAATATTAATTTTTATTTGATCCTAACTTCGAATTAAGATGAAAAATGCAAAGTAATTGTCAACTGAATTACGACTCATAAACATTAGTTAATTATTGCGAATTGATCAAATAAGAGAGATGAGAGAATGGTAATGCTGTCCGATGATCTTTAATTTTAATCTATCCCACTGATTTTTGAAAAAACTTGAACTTAACTAGATTTGTGAACTCACATTTTTAGTGTTTTTCAAACAATCAGTACAGATGATATCACTGCCTGCAACAGTATCATGAGCACTTCAGAAGTCCATTTTGCTGCAGTTGAAAGCATTTCTTTAACCAGGACTCGTCAAGAAAGTGAAACTGTTATTCAGTCCGACTTCTCTTCAGAGTATAAAATTTCATCAAGTCACTATGCAGATATATTTGCTAGCAAAGACACATCAAGCCCCAACCAGGTATTTCATGACTTATGAAGTCGCGTGCTGTCCGAAATCACGCCAAGAATTACGTTGCTTCTTTAAAAGAAAGCTTATCAAGATTAACATTAATCATGGTGTTTGTAACAATTTGAAGGTGAATGCAGTCATAATGGCAAAGAATGATGACGAATTGGAAGAAGGAGAAGTTGTGAGTGACCAAGAAAAAAGCACAAAATCAGACAAAGGTGACACGCTAAAGGTTTGTTTATGTTTAGTGTTTTGGCCAATTTATGTAACATAATAGTTGTATAGTGAATGTAGGGTTTTGTTAGCATTCTGGTATGGTTCAGTGGCGAAAATCCTCGTAGTGTAATGGCAGGAGTTTGATTCCGGGCACTTTCAAGGGCGAACAATTGTGTCTGAGTGATTGTTCGCTAATGTAAGTGCTAGATTATAGCGAGGTTGTGTTACTTGTGTGGGCACTTTCACTTTACCCATACAAGTGTCAAGAGCTTCCGACAGAAATAAAATCCAACGGTACATAAATTTCGGTTTCTTCGTTGCAACCAAATTGTTCAATTCTACAACTTTCTATTGTACAAATATACGAGAGTAAAGAATAAAAGCTCTTTTCTTACTCTTGTTGCTGGAAAAAAAGTTTTCTATTGTACTGTAGCGTGCGCAACAGAAATGTAAAATGGTATTTAGTTATATGTTCTTTATTAATGAATTTTCTCAATAGAACTTGATGTCCTTGCCGATTATTCCTTCTAATATTTTAATTTGCAGCAGTGAAAGTGATTGTTTATTAAATTACGAAGATACAGATCATAGAGAAAATTGATTTATATGAAGAAATGATATTTCTTGTAAATCGTACATATGGAAGTAAGAACTTGTAGTGAAAATCAAAGATAATATTTTTTTAAGGGGCATCAACATCTCACCATCCATAGAGACCCTTTTGCTGGTAATCTACATGGTGATTCATCCCCGACATCAATGTCTAAAAAGTCAGGGAAGTAAGTGTCTTAAGCAGATTTTCTATTTGTTGATTACATTTGAAATACTGAAAAGTGTCAGAGGCTCATGTTTAACCAGATTTCAATATCTGCAGTTCTGGAAATTCAGCCGATACTAATAAAGCACGAGAAGAGAGAAGGCTTCACATGCTGGAATTGGAGCTGAGAGCTCGTGCCATTGAAGCGCTTATCAGACGGAGTGACAGTAAGCCATAAGTAAACTTTATCTGATCATTTCGGTATGATATATGTGAGTTTTATTTTATTTCCTAGAGACGAGGAAAATACATTTTCATATTTATGTAGAACTTTCGTATTTATTATGCAACAAATTCAAATATTGTAAATTGATCATTTAAATATCGATAAAAAATGATTTAAAATTTCGAATTTCCATGTGTCATTCTTTTAACGCTCCTTGCTAGCAGTTTTTTCTTAGGATCGAAGTGAGTTTTTTGTGATTGTATAGATGCTTTCATATTGCACTGTAATACAGATTAACTGAGAACTTCGATGCTTAAAGATCAGAATTCCTAACTTGCATTATGCTCTTTTTTTATTCTTCCGTGGAACTGTTGGGATTAATTTTAATGACGATTCTAAATTTTAATGTGTAGATTTCTTTGTAGTTAGCTTTATGTTTGAGATATTAACGCTTCTATAAATATTTGATTGCAATTGATAGCAGGTCACGTTATGTTTAATCAACTTTATTTGTTTCGCTTACTGTTTTTTTGTTTAGGTCAAAATAAAGTAATTTGAAATATTACTTTCATTTCCTGATCATAGCTTCTGTTTTCTAGAATGAAAGGATTGCCTAACATCTTCCCTTTCGCAGTTAAGATTCGAACATCCTAGTACGAAATTACTGTTCACTCGATTACTTTTATTACTCTTTCTGAAATTTTTTTAGTTGGGTTGTTTGGCAAAATTGGGTTTGTTTGAGATTTTTAATAGATGACTGACTGTAGAAAAATATTTTGCTTCAGGGTCCTTTTTGAACCGTCTCGTAGTGAAAAACAGGTTTGGAAATTAGAATTGAAAATTTATTTCAGTTGTGTACCCTCGTTTGTCTTCAAATTTCTGGAATTCTAAAGTTTAAGGAAGCTGGTATTCCAAAGAATTTCTTACTCTAAAATTCTGCTGGAGTCGAAGAAACTAGAGCACATTCTACTGGACATTTCGCTTAAACTATTTTTTCCAAAATTTGTGAAGTCGATTTATGTAAATAGTTCTTTTTTAGGGCAGTGATAGCTGTTTGATATATATGTAAATTTTTATATATGTAAATTTTTCGCATTCAAGCATAACAGTGTCACAGTTTATAATGCTACTATGAAATTATCTGAGTATGAATGATTCCGAAAGCAGTAATCACGGGCTTTTTGCTTAGATAGTAATAGCAACTTAATCAACAATATAATTTTCATAGAGCTGAACGGAAAAGTGAGTTTTAGCTGTTTTTTGGTTTATGAATAAAAACTATACTGATAAACGGCATTTTAAAGTTCAAAGGTTTCTCTAATGACGTAGAACACAGGTTATTTTTAAAAAAGAAAAGAGACTTTTCAGAGTGATGTACTGGTCTTCTTTCTTCGCACATATGTCGGAAGATAAAGATACAAAAGATCCAAGAAAAACGCAGAAAGTATAAAATGTTGAAAACTTTATTTTCTTTTGTTTTTGGAAAAATAATGAAGAAATAAAAGCATTCATGCTTCAGAAGAATGTTTGCCACTTTTTGCTACGGATCAAGCTTGTGTGGTACCCGGACTCGATTGAGCAGCTCAGTAACTTATCAGTAACATCCAACAGAACAATCATTTGTGTCTTTACCATATTAATGTCTCACATTAGTGGTGAAGAGGCAGTCATTAGTTTATATTGCACTATGTAAAATGAATAATTTATTGAATATTGTTTTAAAAGAATCCAGCTTACTCCTTTCAAGCCATGGAATAAATTAATTCATGAGATCCTCCAAATTGATTTCAAAATTTCTTAAAAAATCGTGGTATGACCAAATATGACTTTTATAGAGCTAAAGAAAATTTAGAGAACTTAATCAGAAATATAGGTGACCGAATGACTCGTAATATTCTAATCAAAAAAGTAGTCCTAGCCAAGAAGGATCCATTTAAAATCATCTTCCTAGTCTGTTTTATCACTTAGTTAAATTCACTTTTAATGATTTGCAATTAATGCAGTTTGTTTCTTTATTCTAATGAAATGTTTTCTTTTCATTAATATTAGGTTCAAGAAGAAATCCAGTTGAAGAAAAGGTGCAAAGAATTAGTGAAGTAACTGCCCGTGAATCGACGGTTTTGCTACATCACAGAATGATTATTGCGAATTGCGGCTTTTATTTTAACGATTGACAGTTAATGCAGTCTTCAACTCATCATTTTTCGAATTATGGAGCTGTCCTGAAGGTTTAAATTATCTTCTTTTCTAAATCACTGCGAAAATTCGCGTCAGTCATAAATGGTATTATTCCATAAGAGTGAATGCATCCATTACACGACATCTGTAGAATACTTCTAGAAAAAACTTTCGGCTCTAAAATCATTAATTCAAATGGGTAATAACGAGGCAGACAAAAACGAATAATGATGATATCATTTTGACATTTGACATCAGGTTTTGCTGTATTTTGTTTGAGGAAACTGTTTAGTAAAATTTCAGTAATTCGAAATTTACAGCATAAAATGTGTAAAAGAAGATTTGTAATTAATCTGCAATTGTCACACTATAGATTTAATTTTCAGTTGAGTTAGAATAATTTACAAAGTAACTTATATATGTTTAGTTTTTTTTTTTGCTTATTTCTCTGTCAGAACCTTGTTTTTGAGAGGAGCAATATGTTACTTTAAGAGGATGAATTGAAGCCAGAAAATTTGCCACTAACTTGATGAAAAGTTTCTTTAAACCAATACATTTCATTATCAAATTCTTTGAGTAGTGACAGCTGTTATGATATATAAAGTTTCGAGAAATGTTTGGCACTGCCGAATTATTCAGTGTAGTATTAGGGAGAGAAAGAGAGAGAGAGAAAATTTATAATCTCTATTAAATGCCTACTTCCACATGCGGTAAATAATTACTCCTATTAATGACATGTTGCCAGAGGACTTGAGCCCAATACGTTGGTCAAATATTGTGGCAAGATTTCAAATTGAAAAATGTTGATAACACTTGTTTAAAATTAGCTGGAATTAGAATGACAGGTGTGATCTCTGCAACTCAAAATTAAATTATTATTGGATAAATAATATATTGTTATACATATTCAATTAAATGCTCCTTTTTTATACAGTTTTAAATATCAAACAGAAAGCAGAAAATTTTTCAAAGGTTAAAATTAAGAATTAATTTTCTTAATTATTTAATTTTATCTTAAAATTTATAAGATGCGGTAAATAATTACTCCCGTTGATGACGTGTTACCAGAGGACTGGAGCCTGATACGTCAGTTAACTCAAATTCGTAACAAATATTGTGGCAAGATTTTAAATTGAGAAATGTTTGATAACACTTGTTTAAAATGAGTCAGAATTAGCAGTAGGAATGATATGATTAACTGTAAGAATGACAGGTGTGATCTCTGCAACAGCAAAATTAAAAGATAAATTTGTAAAATTTAAGAATAAAATGATTTTAAATTTCTGAAATGCTAGTTTGTTAATTGAACGGAAATTTAAGGATTTCTGTCAGATAGACTTTCAAACGTATAGAAACGGAAGAGCATTTGAACATTTGAAAAAAAATCCATTTGAACGTGAGCTATTATAAATAAGAATAAAATTTAAAATAAACAGGCTGTGCTATAAGATTACAACGTATGATAAACACAAAGTTCGAATTTTTGAAAGTGAAACACAAATATAGTACGAAATTGTTTCGGCAAATCAATAATTTAAATAGATATTTCTCAAAAACTGAGTCCAGCATTCTCTAAAGAAATGTGTTTGCAATGTCGGCAGCAAACAATGAAAAAATATCAAATACTGATGAGATCGAGAATCCAGAATTTTCTATGATTTGCTTCCCACTTTGTAGGAAGAGCATAACGAACTTATGCTGTAAAGTGGGAACCAGAACAAAAAACATTTTTCGTCTTTGGAAAATTCCAGTTGGTGCAAAATTTGTAGGTGGAAATAAAAAGGGAACATTAATTTGAAAAAATGACAGTCTCATTGGAAATAAATAAGTAATAAAGCCTAGGAAGTTAGGTTAATTCATATTTCCAAATTCAATTCATATTTGTAAATTCAATAAACAGCGCTTGAATCAAATGAAACCGTCAAGTGTATACACTGCTAATAGAAATTTATTGCTGAGCTTAACTTATCCTATTTCAAAGATTTCAAAAAAAAAAAAAAAGTAAGAATAAAAACAAATAGCCAATGGTGGACAAAGGCTAACGAAATAATCAGTTGTTAGTGGGATAAGTCGAATTCGCTGCATTTTAATGTAAAACTATTAATACAATTAAGTTTTAATCATTGATCAATGAAAGTAGTTTAATTTTAATAAAACTTTTTGCATCAGTTCTAAGTTTTCTTTGACACATTTGTTCGATTCATCTTTGCTAGAATGAAGTAATCAATATGTTCTGTTCATTTTCGATCAAATGAGCTGCAATTTTTATTTGTAGAATTTGAAAATTAATTTTGAATTTGAAATGTTCTCATTGACGTCCATTAAAATGCTAAAACACTTTAACAACTGTCCAATAGTTTTTTAATCCAATGATTTTTTCGAAAGCATATTAAGTCTGCCAAAATTTTTAAATATTTCGTTGATGTAAGATTTTATTTGTTAGCAAGTTATGAATTTTTCAGTACAATTAGTTAAATTAATTAATTAAACAATTAGTCTATTTGTTAACGATACTTTTAAAATTATTGTGAAGACCAAAAGTTGTTGCATTAATTGGCAACATATATCTTCAATTATATCTCGAATTTTTTTTCATTTATTTACTCTTAGCTTCACCTTTATTTAACACTTTTCAATTTTAAATTATATATTTGTTTTTTAATGCGGGCCAATCCCTTTCTATTTGATGAGAATTTTTATAATTTTAAAATCTTTAAAAATTTGCAGAATTAAAAAAATTCATATAACTGAAAATAGAAAGTTATAAATGCCAATAAATTTAGAACTGAGAACATTTTAAATCTTTTGAATAGAACTCAGCTAACTACCTTCAAGACTCGTGATAACATTTAACACTTAATAACCATATTATTTGTACAGAACTTTTAAAACTTAAACTACTAAATTTCCAGTTGGACTACCAACACTTTTTTTTCTACTTTGACCAATGATGTTTTATATGGCCAACTTTAAAGGCAATGGTTAGAAAATATTATAAAAGATTTTATGCATATTATTTGTATAGCTCTAAAAGTAAGTGCTGCAAAAGGACATAAAGCATTAGGAAATGCAATTGTGGTTTTATTAATATATGCAGAAATTAGAAATAAGATAGCAATCTATAATCTTTAATTTGCCATTGTTTTGGTTGAAATATTTTCAAATAAAGATTGAAAATCCTGAATAAGATAAATATCTATTTACCATCCGTATGTGTTTTCTGGTTCAGTTATTATTAGCTAACTTTAGACTTTAAACATTCAGGTTACCTTTTATTTTCATCCTGCACTTTTCATATTAATAGTCAACTGCTTTTATTCCAATTTTTGCACAATATTTAAACTTTTCAGACTTTTAAAAACTAAAAGTTATGGAAAGAATATAGCTAAAAATAAAAACAGCATTAACTGAGACTTGCATATTTTCAAGTTCTGTGTCAAATGGTATTGCATACATTGTCAGAGTAATTTGAAAAAAAATTTTTCATCTACAAGATTGATAGTAACTCGACTTCCAACTAATATAGTTTATTAAAACACGGAAGTAATTAGAATGTCTGTAAAGTGTACAACAGAAGCGGTATTGCAATGGCACCTAAAGATTGTGGTTTCATGGACAAGAGTGACATTTGAAACAATTGACATTAAATGAGGTGCCCGCGGGTCGGCAGAGATATGGAGCAAAGACAATCACTCGAGACATTTTAATTCAACAATTGATGTTTTTGAAGATGGATAAGTCAAGTAAACGATTGGTTATAAATTTCTGTAGATTTTCTATCCTTCCATTCTCAATCAGTACAAATTTCGTATTTGGGTGAGCTCTATGGTTGTTTTATGAACATTTTTGATGCAACTTTATTTCTAAAGCATACATTGTCTACTAGCATATCTTATTGTATTCATTTAGTCGTTTTTTCCACATATTATAATTGAATTTTAAAAATACATTTATATTGAACCAACAAATTACGAAAATGATTTGGATTCATATTATTATATCATAAAAATAGATTTCATCGTAAATGAAAGTAATACTTTCATCTATGATTTTGTTCACAAAAAAATGTTAATGACTTCGATTGCTTTTTTAGTTCCTTAGTTGTTTTTTCATCAACTTTTTTTCTTAACTTTTTCCTTTAAAATTATTTCTTACCACTCAAATATACTGCTGAAAATTCATGAGAAGATAATTCAAAGCATTCATTGGAAATTTGCAAATTACAAATGAAATTACAAACAAATTTGTAAAATTACAAAATTACAAATTTACAAAATAATTCAACATGATTTTTTTTTTCGTCAGGAAGTTAAAAGAAAATTGGAACATATATGAAGGTAAGATGCCTATTTTTTAATTTTAATTCCTGAAGAATAAGATGCCATTTTTGGTTCGATATTTATTGTCAGTGAAGAAGTTTCATCGTGATAACTTACCATTTCCAGTTACAAAAATGTGGGTAATTGGGTCAGTGCTTGCGGGCAACACGGATAATGGCCTAAATAAATAACCAACGATTTATTTGACGTCCTCTTTTTGAAATTTATATTAAGTCTATGCTCCTGTGATATTCCTGGAAAATTGCAATTTGATAAGCTAACCAATTAAGATGTTTTAGTTTGCCCTTTTTGACAGAATTCCATGAATCAAAGATTCCTAAATGAAAATGTTAGTGGCTAAAAACACAGCTGTAAAGAGTTACGAATAAGTTGTGTGGAATTATAGCATCTCGAATATTCCATTGTTTTCCTTCTTGCATCTAATAGAATTCTTTCGCGGGAAGAATAATTTGGTCTGGTCCGATAGCTTTCTGAATTCTCATTTGTTTTTCAATTTATAGTTCATATTCTTCCACTGATGTTATGAGAGATGAAGTTCAACGGTATTGAAAACAGTTTGCGCGATGAGCAGGTGCAAATGCGCCGCGTTGCATTTTTTGCAATTGTTATTTCGACTGCTGCAGTGATTGCTTCCATCGTCACTCTCCCAATGCTATACAGTTTTGTTCAGTCCTTCCAATCTCACCTCATTGCTGAAGCTGATTTTTGTAAGGCTAGTTTTTGATATTTGGACAGTATATTGAACTATTTAAAATTGATGTATTAAATTAAATAAGATGCTAAACTTTCCTATTTGAAAATTAACAACCTGATTAACTTGTCAAAGTTTCGATTTGAATTTAAGGTGGTTTTCTTCGTGGATTTTCATGTCTGAAAACCTGCACAATTATTTTTCTAACAGAATTACGATTGGATTATTGATTTTTTAAGTATAGAAAATCAATTTAAAATAAATAGTTATTTTCCACACTTTAAAAAGTGTGGAAAGTGTTATTTTTTCATTTTGATGTTGGGGAGAAATTTGTTACACATTTATATGATTTAACGAAATGAATTTCAGTCCCGATCTCGGGATATGTGGCAAGAAATGACCTTAATTGATAAAGGATATCGTGCTAAGCGAGAAGCAGGCACATGGCTTTTCGGTCAATTTATATCACGCACACCCGGTAATGCAAATCATAATTTGGGAAGTACTAGCTATGGTATCGAAATTCCTACGCCATATGGTAGCAAGGGAGGAGATGGATCCAACAGTGGAGATTTTTATGGAAGTTCCAGCAGTGGCAATACTTACGGAAGTGGAAGTAATCCATATGGTGGCGATACTGCAGCTGATAGCGACTACGGCAAGTCAGAGATACCTCCCGGTTACAGTGCAGGTCCAATAATCAATGCAGAACCAAATGTTGGAAGTTTCTGTTGCCCATGTCAACAAGGCCCTGTAGGACCACCGGGACCACCGGGCGATCCTGGTCCTGATGGAAATGATGGTGAACCAGGTAAAGATGGCGATAAAGGAAAAGATGGACAGGTATTTTTCAAGATAGATTCGTAAATTTTATTCTAAGTAAGCCTATTGAGCAGTTTAAAAAAAATGTGAATATTACTAATGAATAAGAATGTATTCAAATAGGATATCAGCATTTTATCAGTAAGGCCTTTTCTGACAATGACTACTTGTAGTTTTAGCATATAGTTAACATTTGATACATCTTAACATTCTAGAAGTCCTTACATCATACGGCGCAAAAATTAAGTTTATTGTTGCTCTCATTGAAATTCTACAATATTTTTAAAGCTGGTAATTGATTACCCATTATGTAGTAATGATTTAAATGAGAATTCTTCATTTTCAATATTACTAAATCATTTAATTTGATCAATTCATCATGGAATATACTTTAAGGTGCTGCAATCAGTAAATGAAACCGATGAGCCATGCATTATTTGTCCACCTGGACCACCCGGTCCAGCGGGTCAAGTTGGTCCAAAAGGACCACAAGGACCAAAGGGAGCTGAAGGCACAAGAGGTGAAGATGGTAAAAAAGGAGAACCTGGTATGACTGGTGCAGCTGGACCAGTTGGACCATCCGGAAAGGAAGGATCTCCTGGACCTGCTGGTCAACCCGGACGTCTTATTCCAATTGATGGGCCTCCTGGACCTATGGGATTACCTGGTGACTCTTTAATTTTAATAATTATTAATAACTGTAACTTTCGATGATTATTATAATTTTAATATTATTTATTATTTTTCTTGCTTACACCAATGTTTATACCCAAAACTTTTCTAGGACCACCAGGACCACTTGGGCCGAAGGGACCTCCAGGGCCGGATGGAGCTACCGAAGATGGTCCTCAAGGACCACCAGGTGATGAAGGAGTACGAGGACCACATGGACAGCGTGGTCTAGAAGGACAACCGGGATTACCAGGAGAACGAGGAGAAACTGGTTCATGCGAACATTGTCCTGAGCCACGTACACCACCAGGTTACTAAATAGAACAAATACATCTTCTAATGAGACTATATAAGTCACATTTCTGTTGCTGTTCAAATACCTCTTGTTAAGTTGATGCTGGGCAATCCTTTCGTTTTGTTCGAGTTATTTTTTTTTGACTTCTGGACTGGTTGTAGTCTTTAATAACTCAGCCATAGTGATGGCCTTGGCTAGCATCTTGCATGAAATGTTGTCGTTATGCACTGTGCTAAAATATGAGATATTTTGGACTTCATCGTCTTCAACTTGTTGTTTTAACTGACCTTTTCAGAATGAACTCTTACACCTCTATTCTTTTTTAAAGGCTTTATCTGAATACCTTTAAAACAATAATAATTAACCAAATGCTTTGGACCAAATTACTGGGCTAATTTTGTGCCATATACTGTGACAAAAATGATTCAAAAGTTCAGAGAGTTTTTAAAATATTGAAGATGATAGGACTGTGTTAAAACTAGCAATGAACAGTAAATTAATATATATTCATAGTTTATAGAAATATAACACTTCTTGTGTGCAGTTCATAGGTCATTTCCGTTCTTTTTTTGAAAATTGTTTGAAAAATACTTGAAATGCTTTTTTTTTTTTTGTTAAATTGCTTTTATTTTCATTGCAATTGGATTTATTGTTCGTACGAATGACATCTATTCCGTCACTGTTAAAAATTGAAACAATATGAGGAAGAAGTTGTGAATTTATTTTGAATTTGGGTCATTCAGAAAGCTCATTGTTGACAGAAAGAAATGATAAACTTTTCTGACCCATTTAGATCAATCATTGCTGTTTTTTTTCATTAGTATTCATTCTCTTACATTTAATTACAGTTTGTTCGCGTGAATGATAAAAAATCTCCACAAATTTAATGCAAAAGATTTAAATTCGATTACAAAAATCTTTAGAATCGTTTAAATAATCTAAGCAGTTTTCTAAATTTCAATGATCGGTTGCCCAATGTATTGATGGAATCATATCACTTTGAATCAATCACATTCCATTACTTTGGAGAGGGTAATTTCGAGCCTACAATTTTCGATTCATGTTCCTTTTTCTTCTTTTTTAGAAGAGAAGGAAGGAATGGAAGAATGAAAAAGTTATTTATATTGAATTATATTTAGAATAAAAATTCACCAGGCCACCATAAATACTCACAACTACTCACCATATTCTTGTATTACTTAATCTAAGACTTTCCACAATGGACAACAAGTCCCTTTGTGGTCAAAGTATTTTAACCCTAACTTTTCGAATACGGAAACAAAAATCTGTCGTTGTTCTGTCATCAATTTTCGACTGAAAAAGTTTTTCCTAAAATAAGCTCCTGTTACAAGACCTTCCTAAACACCTCCTATAACAATTTGTTTCTCAGTAATATGAAATTCTTTCAAAATACCCAGACAGCAGTTTATTGCCTTTGTAATTAGTTTTAAACTTCCACTCTAGATGCAAAATTTTCGTACGTATTTCGCTTGAGTGAGCGTAAGCACTTTTTTTTTGACCGGATTTACCGGTAAATTTTGATCTGAGAGTTATTAAACTAATGAAATCAGGAAATGATACACGAATAAATAAATAAATATGATATTAAATAGTTCTAAGCACATGATTATGAAGAGAGTTGTAGCTTCTGCAGTTGTCTCTTTTTTTTTGTTTTTTTGAAGTAAAAATTTACTGCCGCCCATGACATAATATAACATTGGGATTATTAATCACTCTCACTAATAAAACAGAAATAAAAAATGAGGTACATACATCGATAAAGCATTGTGATTGTAGTAAATTCTTTTTGTTTGGTTTGGTTTGGTACAATCGGATATTTTGGTCGGTTTTCTTTTCTGGGAGAAGCTTTATGTGAACAGAAAACTGGAGAGAAGAAGATCAATAATGAATGAGATAAAATTGTTTATCAGACCGAAAACATTTGCATGAATATTGGTTTTTTGTAAATTAGCTATTAAGGCATGGGAATTTAATTAGAGATTCGAAATAAAAAAAAGAGTGAGAAATTAACCTAATGATTTACCTTACTGTAACATCCATTTATATTCATTTTATGTCATGAATCATTTGAGTGAGAATATTTAAAACACAAATTATCTTATCATTTAAAGGTTCGCGATGCTCAAAATTTGCACAGTATTTCCATAAATACTTTTATCAGCAGTATATTATTACCTGAACAGCGGGGTCAGGACAAATGACTGAATTTAATAGCTAAACTTTCGCAAATTTTGAATGTCAGGAATCTTAAAATAATTTACGATATGTCTAAATAAGAGAATATGCGAGTATTTCTCACTCAAATGATTCGTTGCAGAAATTGTAACTAAATAAATGTTAGAATATCCGTTGTGTTTAATCATCCAGTTAATTCTTTATTCTTTTTTGATTGCTATACCGGCTTAATGACTCAATTACCGGGAACGCATTACATATGTTCCCGATCCGATAACCAATTTTCAGTTGTTATGTTGTATCAGATCTTCCTTTGTCGTCGCTCTTTTTTGTTTACATATCAATTCAATAAGAATTTATCAGAATGTTTGTTGTAAACCATTCTTACTTTATTTATATATACACCTATGTGTCCTATAGATGTACCATTCCATCGACTTCAACCGCCACTTCTGGCTCTATATTAATCATAAATTTATCTATTTCTGTGTTATTATACTACTGCCATCCACGTCCCAGCGAATCCCTTCAACCCCACAAATAAAGAATTCAAAAAGATATATTTTGAAGAAAGTTAGAGAAGAAAACTAAAACGCTGAACGAAACAGTTGCTTTGTTTTCAACTTGCTAAAAACTATGATAGCTTAAATCTAACCCTAACTTCATTGCAATTGAATTTATGTGTCATCAAAAGCTTCCACTAAATTTATTCTATTTAGAATGCTTAGAAATGTTCGAGGGAAGTTCTGATATTTTGAATTCGTGGGAAGTAGTGAATTCTAAAGAGTAACCAAGAACTTTGCAAAGACAAAAAGATATGAATATTAAAAACAGTATGCAAAATTAGCTTTTAAAATCTCGAAAATTAAGATTTCGGATGCTCCACTTCCAATGAAGCCACAAACTAGGCTTGCTGAACATTCCGAACAGTTGAACTAATATAATACTTCAACCAGGTTTTCACCTAACCATCGATAACAATGAAGATAAAGCGATAGCTTAATTAATTTTACCATTAATTAAATAAGCTTAATAAGCATTTTAGATATGTTAACAAAAAAAGAACATGCGAATATACATGATACGTGTACACATTATCGTTATTATTGTTATTGCTGCTTTTTTTAAAAATTATTGCTAATTTTCTGTGGAACCTAGGGAAAAGTGAAAAAAAAAGTAAAAGAAGGTAAAATTTCCCATAAGTGTACGCCGAATGTTCCGTTTCTTTTCGAAGTTAATCAAGATACTGAAATTTAAATAAGAAGATTATCAGATGATGAAGGCCATATGAATAGCCATAAAACATATGGACAGGATATATGAATATATCCTGTGAAAAGAAGGAAAAATAAAGGATAAAGAAAATTTTTAAAAAAGATAGAGCTTTTTAATTGTATTCAGAATTTTCTAATAAATGGATGTTCTCTTTACACAGAACGCGAATATTGTCCACTCGCGTTACAGGATTTATCTGGTTGAAGAGCAAATTTTCAAAAGTTTCACTCAGCAATGAATCTGAGAATTACCGATCAAATATAAGTGTCACAAGTCACTAGTTCCACTTCTGCAATTTGAATTACAAATATTCTCGTTGACACCTCACATATGTAATCCGCATAAAGCCCAAGAGGTTATCAACTTGGTATCATACAAAGACCACCTTTCATTGCTTTTTCGAATCAGCTCATAAATTTTAAGAAAAAATTTTTAGGAATTTATGAGTTTATTGGTATGTCACAACTGAGAACTTGAAACAAAGCTTTTCTAGATTATTAAAATTTTATAACAACTTATCTGTTTCGCTTTGTTGGAATAGCAAGCTGCCATTTCATCACATATGGTAAGTTACTTCATATTCTGTTATCATGAATTCAGAAACATAAAAACTGAATTCATAATAATCACTGTCGTATTTTCTTCTTTTTTTTTTTCAATCTAATAAACCAGTAACCGAAAAAGATATAATGTTTTGCAAAAAAAAAAAAAAAAAACAAAACTGAATCAATTTTTACCACTACTTCTCCAGAGGAAGAACTGTTCATACTAAACAACTACAGAAATCAATGATTTAAAAAAGATAGATTTTTCTTAAAAATAATTTAGAAACATTCTGGCATATTTTGAAAATCTGAAGATTACAAGTAATTTTACAAATATTCCATTTGTCGCCAAATGGGAAATAAGTCCGCGCTTTGGCTAGAAAAGCGCACGGATATAGAGTCTCATTTTAGAAACAAAATAAACACACTATTTAAATATGAATAGAAGGCAACAAGGAAATAGATGGGATGATGAAAATAACTGGGAGGAGATATTAAAATAACGGAAGTTGACTGTACATGGGATTTTTAAATCGAGTTCTCCTCCTGCTTATTTCAATACTTCTTGCAGCAAGGCTTCTTAATGTACAAAAAGTTTATTTATGGAACTGTTGAGGGGAAAAAATTTATGTTAGTGATATATTGAGAGAAAGTGAAAGGGAAGGATAAAAGAAATGTGGAGCTATAGAAATTATGTGACGTCATTCGTTAGTTATTGCAAGCTCTACGGCTCGTTGTCTACGGAGGAAAAAGAGGTTCAAATAAATCCTCCCATAAGACGCTTCTCATTTCCATTCACTGCTTCTTCTGTTTCTTTCGTTTACTACCTTTCTTTTTCTTTTTTTTTGAGCCACTTTTACTTCCTTCCATTCCTTGTGAGTCTGTTCCAGTTGACGGTGTTGAAATCTGTAACAGTCGCGTCTTCAGCATTCAAAATAATTGAATATGTCATTTTTAATTTAGAAAATGAAAAGAGTAGTTTCCTATGAACAAAGATAGTTTGCGTCACCACATCTATAATATAGAAAGCAAAGAGAATGGAGTTCAGATGGCAATGCAGTATGCATATCAACAACAATATGTAATCAAAAATCTCACATACTGTCACAGTTCACAGCTCGTTTCAAAATGTCAAAACTCTCTTGGAAAGAAAAATTTTTAAATCTTGATACACCACGCTGGGAATGAAAAGTGGAAATAATGTGAAAAACAAAATAGTAGTGTTGAAACACTTGCATTAACTTCGGGCGTTGGATCCATAGGTTTTGCGGTAGCGGATACATCATCCTGAACACTTTATAACTTTAGTGTTTCAATGAATAAATTTAACAACATTTGTGAAAGAATATAAAAGTTTAAAACAATACTCTTACGGATCATTTGATATGAGGAAAGCGAAAAATTCATAGAAATGTAAAATGCTTACACGCATTCCAACTGCTGCAGCAATACCGGCAGCGCTCTTTTTCTGAAAAGAAAGTCATCACTAATTGCGTAACGGCATTATAGTAGATTTCCGTCATAATTTTCTAGAATGCATTTTTAACAGTGAGAATTAGTAAGAGAGAATAGTTAATGCAATTTACGACATTAAAAGAATAATAAGCCACTAAAGAATGGAGTGTTCTATCGGAGGTTAAAAGTTCCACCATTAATCATTCATCGCTCACAACGAACCTTCACGACAAAATAACCTACGGCACCAACGACACACATAATTAGCAGTAGGAAAAAAAATGACATCTTCGTCTTACTCTAACCAATCACCAGTTAGTACTTATATTACAATAAACAATCTGTAGTTTCTTTTTTCCTAAGTATTTTCTTTTTGTAGCATCTATTCCCACTAAATTAGCATATGCGTAGACTAATATTGAGCAGCTAATACAATAATAACAAAGAATCTCTAACAATCGCTAACAACTTCAGTACTTTCTTGCAGCGCTGTGAGACTAAATTTTCATGATGGACTGAATGCATTAAATTAGTTTCCTTTGGAAATAGCTGCAAAGTGGAGTTTTCGTCCATTGCTTTATAAATTTTGTTTAGGAAGTGATCAAATGTACTGTAATCCGTGATAACATTTGATAGTGATTCAGTTTACTGATAATATCAGTGTTGTCGTCCTTAGCTATGTACTATTCATCTTTAAAGCTCTAGCACTTCCATACTTGTACGCTTGGATATCTACTCACACCACGCTTAACAAACTGATCGCTATCAATGGCTTCTCAATGCAAGAATCGTAATCAGTTAAGTTTAGGCTTTACTAAGGTAAAGCAGATCGCTGGGTAACTGCTCAATGTTATAACGATGTTTCCTTTTTTGCAGTTTTGGAATATGGATGAGAGGTCTTCTCCTTTACTTCCGTCTTCATCCCATCAATATCAAGTTTTATGTATATTTGTGGAGATTACAAATTATGAACTTCGCACAAAATTGTTGAAAATTTTGAAGGCTAATTTATTTGCAGTTATAAAAAGTGATCCATTGGTGATCATCGTCATAAAGATTGTTGAATTCGAAAATTCCTTAAATATGTTTTCCAACAAAAGTTGTCATACAATATGTGATTTGTTGACACATTATTTAACGAGTGGCGGATACTTGAAAGTCCAGATTCCATATGGCTGATGTTTTCTTATATTGTTTTGGCGTTATGTGAGTATCGGGATTTTGCTAGGCATTTTTGAACTGACTCTATTTAGTCTTCTCAACCGGTTACTGAAATTTAGAATACAAATTGATAACTAATGCAAGACATCGCAGGAACTAACAATTATTATCTTCCTCTCTACTTATGTACATGTCCGTAATTTCAGTAAACGTGACTTCAGTATTATATTATCGTAACTTCTGTTTAGACTAAAAACATCTTACCTCTAAATCTCTTCTCAAGTAATTATTTAGACTTAGACGAAGCTTCATAATCATCCTAAAAATTGTTCAGTTAAAATATAAGTTTATTCATTTCATTTTCTCGCTTCCCATTATCGGATTCTCAGTACCCATTAAACGGACAGACGTCAGGTTAGGTGACTTCGTATCACTTCTTGAATTTATTTGATTTTGTTCCCAAGTTTTCTTTTGCTTTTATTTCTCTATTTCGCTTTATCATTTCAATATAGAACCTTTTCTGTCATCTGTATGACGTTAAACTTCTCTTGAAGAGTGTTGACGGATTATGATAGATAACGTTGACTATTTCGTAAATTGCTACTCTCACGTTATTGAATTTGATTTGAATTAGTGTGAAATGTGATGACATAAGAGAAAACAGCTTTTTGTTTGAAATCTGATTACTGTTTATGAAATAAATGTGCCAACGTATGTTCTAGATTATTGAATTTAATATGTCATCTATTTTTTTTACCAGAATAACTATCATGAATCTAAATTTTTCCAAATTATCATCCGTCTTTTCTACTCAGCTGAATTAAATATGGAGTAAAACGAAATACTTAATTTCCTTGGGAATTCTGCATATTTATCTAATATATGAGAATTTTTCAATTTTCAGCTTTTGCGAATGGTTTCATTATTATTGTGCCATCATTGGATTTACTTAGAACCACGTTTTTATGCAGAGAACCTAGTCTTATTTCAACTTTATGATGGTGTATGGTTTTAGTAATAATGGCGATGAATGAAGAAGGAGGATATCTAGGTGCGATGACATATCAATGCTTGTACAGCGGCGTATTGGATCGTGTTGTCCAAAATCGTCGAAATGACGATAGTGCTGTTCATGTGATTCAAGTAAACATTATATGAAAATATTTTCTTTTTTATTTCTGAATGAATTAGAAGTAGTTTAAACGAATGTCAGTATGAATCTTTAAACAATATTTTTAGTGTCTTATTCGACAGATTATCGCTTCCTTACCATAGAGTATATTGATTGCTTAGTTTTGTCATTTTTTTTTCATAAACCAGATCTAGTTTACTAATCCTTTTTTTTTTAATTTTCAAAACTTCCCGAACTTCTATAAATTATCTTCCAGCGGTTGCGGAGTACTTTGAGACAGGCTGATGTTTCTTCGCCATCCTTTCTGTTCGACTTCACGAAAGTCTTGCTGATTGACTCAGAGTTGAATATTAATCTGCAAGTAGTACCTTTGACATCGGTTTTGATAATTTTCTAATTTCCAAGACTTCTCTAACTTATAAAGTTTATAAATCAAGAATTATGAAAATCGTTCAAATATATTTTCACAACTCATCTTATGTTCTAAGCGATTGTTGCAGATCGATCATGCAAAAATGTTTCAAATCAATAAATCAATAAGATTATCTTTAAATCAGTAGATTGTCTGCCTTTTAAATATTGCATTTTATGATTCATGACTTTTGAATAACAGAGCCATTACCCGCCGCTCTGAGAAAGCTATTTTTAAATATAGATTGATTTTCCTTCTAGAATGGAATTCTGTTGTTCGGTAACAGTTGTTTTATGAATGTTGTTTTGAAATTATGTTCTCCTTGTTGCAGGAAGCTTTTCTGCGGAGGCAGGCAACTGCACCAACAGAGGATTTGGAATTACCAAATCTACATCAAAAAGAATATCAAGAATTGTCGTTAAGGTTAGGCCCCATTCTTTATGGTTGTGCAGTGAATTCTGAAACAGCTCGAATTTTGTGAAACTAGATAAAAGTTTCTTTCAGGGCAGTTGCTCTGCGGCGAGTTCTAGCTCGTGTACCTGAAGAAATGTCCGATCGACGGACTTTTCTGGAAACAATAAAGGAGATAGCATCATCTATTAAGAAACTTTTAGATGCTACAAATGCAGTAATGCAAGTGATCCATCCGAGCGTTCAACTTTGTAAGTAGTATTTTGGTTTTGTAATTTTTTTCTTCATATTTGTCTTTTATGATTTCTCTTGGTGACAGAATGCTTATATTCTTTTATTTAGTATTTCTGAAAAATTTTTGTATTTACAGCAGTTGAGAAGCGAAAACGGGAATTTGTCCATTATTCAAAACGCTTCAGCAATACATTAAAAGAGTATTTCAAAGATCAAAACGCAACTCAGGTATTCCGCCTCTGTTACATGCTTTGTTTGCAGTAATCCAGTTAAGTTTTTGTTGGCTAGGAGTCTCGTGTGGTGGAAAGTAAAAAACTTACCCTGCGCTGCAATTATTTCTTTGCTTTTAATTTCCAGGTTTCGATTTCGGCTAACCAGTTGATTTTCCAGACAGCTTTGTTAATTAGGACTATAAGAGAGAAAATGCGAAAGGTAATTATTGAGAATAATTCTTTTTACTTTTTCTTCTGAAAATAATTCAGAAACGGTGTGGAAGGGTAATATCTTCTCTTTTGTTTCTTTTAAAAGCTGAATTTTTTGTACGAGTTAATCGTGGAACGGTAGCTTTAATATCAAACCACGCAGCATTTTCGTAATAGAAATGAGTGAGCTTGATAAGTTGGTTGAGTTTAGAATTTTCTGTTTCAGAACTAGAAAAATTTAGTAGGTGGGATTTAGTCCCAGAATTTATTTTACTCCTCAAAACAATTCTTTTTTTTAATTTGAAAATAGGGAAATAATAGCTGATAATAATGTGTTACCTAACAAAATGAATTTATCATTTTTTGCATAATTTAATTTATGCATATTTTTGGGTAGAATCACTATATATTGATATGCTTGCTAGTTCGGTTTCAGATTCACGAGGAATATTTTCAGGTTGGTTCTTGAAAGCGTTTTATCTTCCAGGATTCTTCAAAATATACTGCCATTCTTCATTGATTTACTTGTTAAATAAATTGTAGTCTATATTTTATATTCTGCTATTTCAAAACAAATTTTGAAGCATATAATTTTTGTTTTAAAATTATTTTTTTTAAGGGAACTGTATCATTTTCAAAAAATTCCCTTGATTAATCAAGAAAGATTCATTTGGTTGTTTTTAGTGTATTCCACAACATGTTTGAAGTTTCAAACCGTGCATAACTTATGTGTCTTACCGAAAAATTAGTAAATTTGGAGAATTACTTATCTTGCTCGAAATTGATGTTTGATGGAAATAGCTTTGAGAAAAGTATGATATCTAAACTTTAATATGCTGATTTGTTCATTTTTGCTATTGTAGTCGGTTTTAAGCTTAAATCAAACTTGTTTTAGCAGTGGAAATGTTCTTTATTTGCTTAGTTAATGTTATGAAAATTTTGTACCTCATTGCAGTTGTTTTTGGCTTTTTTGTGTCTTTCTTTGTCAAACTGTTACGTTTCTTTCTGTTTCTTCTGTCTTATGACAATAAATGTTCTGCTTTCTACTAGTTATACAAACATGCTTCCTAGCACTTTCAAATCATGAAGAAACTAAAAATTCGTTTTTTTTTTCGATTCCAAATTGCATAAGTAGAAGAAGGAATCATTAATGGCATCATTTTGTTAAAATGATTTTTATCAATAGGTTTCTTGGGTCCTCTGCAAATTATAGCTAATTTGAAGGTGAGATGCTGATATTTGGATGGCAGAGTAGGTTAGGTTGTTTGTTGCCTTCCTGAATCATCGCAAGTACTAGCTGCTATTGTTCAGAACCAGATTAATGATATCTGCTCAAAGTCCAGCAAGCGCTGAATTGAGTAATCAATTGTTAACCAGTGGATATAAATGTATTGAAATAATTGGTAAGTTCGATGTGTCAGACCTATTTACAAATATAGCGAGCAGACATAATTTTTCTTGATCACTGCAATATAGAGGCAAGTTTACGAATATGGATATTTGGAACAAAAATATTTGTTAAAATTTTCACAACTCCAAATATTCTTTACATGTTAATTTATTTGTGAGAAAAAAAAAAAAAAAAAAAAAACTAAGAATGAATATGTATGGCTTTATTATAGCAATTTACTGAGAAAATCTGCTATGATCATGATATCTTTAGTAACAAATGCGTTTGATAATATCGTGATATGCAAAGTGGAGGAATACTTGAGAAATTCTAGTGTGAAAATAATAAAAGTTTTCATCAGGAAAGGGGACATATTCGAAAGTTCAATTGGCTTGGTCTAAAAAACTTTCTAAAAATGTTGCAATCAAAATTATCGACAGACGGTCAGTTACACTTTAACGACATGTTAGAAAAAAAAGACTAGGTCACCTACTTTTAAAATTCCTCTATTTCTAAAAATTAGCATATAAATATGAAAGCTTATTTAACTGTCTCTTAACATAATTCCTAATACTGAAGATGAAGAAAGTTTTGAAAGTGATACCTTATCATATTAGTTCAAACTGTAATGAAGTTCATGTACATTAAAGTATTATAAGTTTTCGACAGGACTGACAGATTCGAAATTAGCTATAATTACCAAATCATCTGTCAATTCTTCTGTGTTAGTTCGTTTGTTCATGTATTTAGGTCACAAACAGATTTTATAATCCGTTTTCTTCCACGAGAATTACAAATTTTACCGATGCTTAACCATGCAAACATTACTGGAATTTATGAAGTTCATTCGTTAATTTTTTTTGCACTGAAGAAAAAAAATTGACCAAAAAGTTGCATTTAATAAGCATAATAAAAATTTGTATTTAATAAACTAATTTTAAAAAATTAATTAAAAAAAACTGTTTCACAAGCTGTTGAAATTATTAGAGCGTGAAAATTTTGACAAAAGGAAATAACAAAATGTTTTGCATGAGAAGCTATAAATTTACTTACTTACAAATAATCAATTCTGGCACAACAGTTTGCATCATTCAAGAGTATGCTAGTGGCAAGGATTTACTGTATCAAATTAAAAAGAATGAGAGACTCAATGAAAACATTTCCAAATTTCTCTTTCGACAGTTACTTGAAGCGCTTATGGTTCTCAATTTCTAAAATCTGTTTCAGTTTCCTAGCCATTGCTGCTTTTTTAATGTAGTTTTTAACTTGATTCATAAGAAAAGTGATGAAGTTATAATTTTCCAGCATAATTAGTCTTGCATGGTATTTTTTCCTTTAATTTGTCCAAACTGCTCATTCCATCAAATAGCAATATCTGAAATGCAAAATCAAAAATGAAGCATTACTTTTGTAAGATTCCTCCATCTTCGTCACTCCAAAGTTTTAAAAAGTAATAAAAAATTGAAAGAACTAATTTTTAACTAAATTTAGCAAAAGCCAAACTCGAACAAAAGCATAACTATCTAATTTTTAATGAAAGCAAAATTCGAAACTTGAATGTAGATTGAATGAGATGCATTCTAAGCTGCTTATCATCACTGATTACTTAATGATTTCCGTATAAGTACGAGAATTTAGTATTTGAAAACACTTGGAGTAGCACATCATGACCTGAAATGTGAGAATATATTCTTGGATATCTGTGGTAATATTAAACTTGGTGATTTTGGATTCTCAAGAATAATGCATAATAATGACACATCATATACTTTTTGTGGTTCAAGAGCCTATGTACCACCAGAAGTTCTCAAGTATTTTCTTCGAATTTTTTTTTTTGAATAAAGATCTTTTGTTCGAATATATATAATTCCGATAATAACCTAATGTTGAATACTGAAATTAAAAACAAGTTTATGAACAAGTACTTCCAGATCACAACCTTACACGGGCTTCACGGTTGACCTATGGAGTTTAGGTGTAGTATTGTTTGTGATGGTTAAGGGTTTTATGCCATACGATGATCAAAATCCACGGCGAATGCTCTCGAAGCAATTGCAGCATAAGTCACTTTTATAATATTTCGTAACAGGCGATTGTAACTCAGCATATATGAAGTTTCTTTTAATGACGTGATTTCATTATCTGAAAACAATAATTCTCGAATCCGACGGGCATCTGGATTACAAAAGTTCCCGAATTCTTGATGCTTGTTTATATAATTTAATAATCTAGATTATTTTTATTATTAAATATCACTTAATTTCTTATGCTTTTCAACATTAACATTCCCTGGTGATATTGATATTTTTTACACTTTATTATTTGTTATTATATTTCAGTTATTGATTGAAGGAGTTCAAGAAATTTCGTTTTTCAGACTAACATTCCCTCATAAGATACTGATAAGCGAAGAAGTAAAAGCACTAATTTACGAAATATTACATACGATACCATCTCAGCGTAAGTCATATTCGGATATTGTAACATCATCTTGGTTAACATATTCAGTATAAATTTCGGACAAAGAACAATTGTGATAAAGATGATCTACTAGAGTTTCAATAAGACGCTCCACACTTGATTATATTTAATTCTTTATGCATTAAAAACTTTTTTAAACTAACGTTCCTTTAGCCAACATAATTCACCTTTATAAATTTGTATCTTAGGATTAAAGGTTAGACAAATTTTCATAGTTCAGATTATATATTATATTTGAATTTGTTGTTAGATTTCTGTCAAGATAAAAGAAATGTTGCAATACTGCTATCACTATTCTCATTGTTGTACTGTAGGTAGGAGTAGCTTTTATTTGGAAATTTTTTCTTTCATTACATCCGATACCATCCCATCTCAGCATAAGTCATATTCGGATATTGACAAATCATCTTGGTTGACGGGTATTCCATATAAATTTTGCACAAGGGATAATTGTGATAAAGATGACCTACTAGTGTTTCAAATTTCAAAATTTCTCTATTAAATCGAAATTTCTTAATTGGAAAAGGTGGTTGTGTTATGGATTCAAGTAAAACTAGTAAACACATCTCTCATTCCTGATCACTGGAAAGTATGAAGATTTTTTACCTCTCATCTCATTATTCCAATCACTAAACTGATTATTACTATGTCGGTCTGCTCGTTGGTTTAAGTAGACTGCTGTTTACTACTGCATGATTACTCAAATATACAAAAAATTCTATTCAATTTTTGCTAATTCATTCGTTCCTAAATTCTCAACAGATTGTTGTCTATTTTTACTCTTCTTTTTTTGTAAATTATGAGGTATTGTTAGAATGCTATGGAAACGGAATTAGGAAATTACTGTATTTTCAAATAGTGATTGGAAGCAAAAGAAAATATGGAAAAGGCTGCAGGTGATAATAGAGATGGTTGCTTATAGTAATGAGAAATATCAGCGGATCTCTTCATTTCTTTTATTTAAATCTCTCATCATTTTTATTTTTGTCGATTGCTTTGTCTCGCTTTTTTATTTCTTCTCCTACAATATTAAAATTGTTAAGTGATGAAATGTAAGTTAGATATTGAAACGACAAGTATTTAATGAGTGGAAATATTCTGCAATATGAGTTTCTGAGTTTATATCAAATGCAATCTTAAGCTTATCATCTTCAACAAATTTCGTAAAATTATACGTTACGTTATCTGGAAATGCTCGGGAAATTGTCGAACTTAGCTAACTTATGCCATCTATTTTAAAATAATACTATTTAAAAATATAACAATTTTGAATTATATATTTGTCAATTTTGCTGTTAAATATTTTGAAGAAATTAGAAATTTCATTGGATAAAAGTTAAAGGATTTATTAATGCAACATTAATTCAAATTATCAGTATCAAAGTAACCTTGTCTCTTGAATTTACGCTCTAAAGTTTTTTTTTTCTTTCTCTCTTTCACTGATTGTCGATTTTCCTCTCTTTCACTGGTTGTCTTTCCATTCTTTCCTGTTAGCATGTTACGATTTTCGATTTCTTGTTTCTCCGATTTCTGCACAACACTTGCTTCCTTCAATTTCTTCATTTTTCTACCGTTTCTAATTCACAAGTTTCACACATAATCTCTAGCTATTCTTTTAATGTCTCGGTTTCCATCTTTCAAATTTACTTTTAAAAACAAATAATAAAAACAAAATTCAATATTTTTTTTGTTGGCAATACCATTAATGTTCGTTTATAATTTTTAGTTATCCTAGTCGTATCGCCCTGATCAGCAGTTGTATCACAGTTGCTTTGTTCGTTTACATTCTCAGTTTCTTCTTCCATACTTGTCCTAACCTCAGTATTCACCGTAGAAGTAAGTTCATCATTTCCTGAAAATTATAAAAACCTCCAAGTTAAACAGATTTTCCCTTAAACTCAGCAGATTACAACTTGCACTTTAAAATTATTCTCACTGTTTTATTCATTATTTTCGTCTTTTTCAGTCGGTAAGACAAATTCGACTAAGAAAAATGGAATGATTAAAAGAGAGACGATCTCAGTCTGAAAAATGATAATTTATTAAGATCGCGCTATATTCCGGTTGTACTTGATAAAAGACAGTATTTTGGAGATGATTAGGATGAGTAGTTCAAGATCACTTGATCCTGACGTACATCTTTTCCCGGAGAGAACGCGCAATGATACTTTGTTTCAGTATTAGAGTTAAATTAAGAATTAAATATACCATCATAAAGTAATAATTACAGAATTTGAGTGCTTTGATATAAAATGATAAGTCGGGGAAAAATGGGTAATGATTTTTTCGAGTCTTCCACCAAATCACCTTTGGTTTGCCGAAAGTTCCGCATTTGTTGCTTTCCATGTTGCCTTTCTTTTTCCTTTGCTGACTTTTTTTCTATTTCTTGCTTCTTGTTTTCGAGCATTTGTAAGCTGTAGGAAAAAAGCTGAATTATGATGAGTGCGCTTACTTAGCTTAATGTCCAGACATCACACTGGACCTTTACGTGCTTAATACTCAGGGTCACATAAGGACAGATCACAAAATTCATTTTAATTGATTTGCTAGCAAGAAAAGGCTAGCTAAAGTTAAGCAAAGAAAGCTTACGTTGTTTCCTGATAGTGTTTCTCCAGCTTGCGAACATTCCTTTTGCGTCTAAATTAAATAAATTTCAATAAGTTTTAATTTTTCTACAGAAAAATATTTATTTACTGGTTTCGCATTTAATAAAAAAATTTAAGGAAACGAAAGAAATAGACCATATCGGCAATTCTAATAGCATCTCCAAATAACAAATTTTTTACCTTAAATAAATTTTCACATTACAAGCGATCCAGAGAAGAGAGAGAAGGACCCATATGCCTACTATCACAAATATCTGAATTTTATTCATAACCAAAGCATCCTTTCGTCGTTTCTAAATTACGCAAATTTGAAGTATCAAATATCAATTATGAAACAAACTGCTTACTCAAAAGTAAACAGTGGCAATAAATCTGGGCTTCTCAAAAAGTAGAATAAATTGAAAATTTTCACATTTTGCATTATTATAAAAAATAATTTTTCAATTTTCTAAAATCCTCAATCAAAACTATCCGTTCGTGTTTAGTTAACGTTGACAAACAAGTCGAATCATTCATTATTATTTTAATGTATATGCCATATAATACCAACAACATTGTTTTCCAGTTTCTCATTCATCTTGTCCACCATTTCTTCTAACGTTTTAAAACTGCTAGAAATTTTGTTCTAAAAAATACTGCGTACAAAACTGCATTAAAGATTATATTTTCAAATTTTTACTTTTAACGATGTCCCAATTAGCTAATAATCAAATGTTGCATTACAAACAAACTTTTTTGATGATGAAATCTTAATCGGTTCATTTGTTTCAATCTTTTTTCGTTGAATTAACAAATCTATCTCATTTTCCGCTCCAGCTACCAGAATCCACGAAAGCAGTGCGAATTGCATTAATGACATCACTGCAATCTGCAGAAAGACTTAAATTCTCATTTACTGGAGAAATTCTAGAATTCATCGCAGAACAAATCTGTCAGAAATATTATCGGTACTCACCTCCTTTTCTTCTTTCTTTTACTTTTCCGGTATTTCCCAACATACTATTAAAGGAAAAATGAGGAGAGATATTCAGAGCCATACTTATCTCTATGCAAAAGATTATGATCATAAAAGAAAATGGACCGATCTCAACAGTTGAAAAAGAAAAAATGGATGTTTGAAATAACTTCCAGTTGTTAAATTTTGAAGTATAATCCACTTTCATGGAAATTTCGACTTCACAATAGAAAAAATTGTTAGTATACATATACATATATATATATATATAATGTGCATACGATCATCAATACAATTTTCAGTGTTCATCCTATCATCGATTTTTCCGTGTTATTACTTTCCGAATACTCACCCAATTTTACGATCTGTTCAGATATTAATTAATCAGGAGAAAGAGTGCATGTGAAAAAAAGAAAAATAAAAAAGGAATGTAACGGGAGAAAGAAAAAGATAGAGGAAGCTTAGAATTATCAATTTTATATTCATTTCATACTGCTAAGTCTTTATCCCACACCAGCCTCTCGATCAGATTATAACCCAATGATATTTCTTCTGAGAAATATCATTTATTCTGCAGCAGTTTTTGCACCATTTATTTCAGGTTCAATGCTTCAGACATTGTTATTAATAATTTGGTGGTGACTTTGCTGTATGAATCATAGAGTCGCAAAATTATTGTTGATATTAGAATTAATCAAATAGTGGATAATTCTCGATGATCCTTCATGTGCTCATTACAGTAACTTTTTGTAATACTCAATTGCTAATATTTCTTTCACCACATCCTCTACTTCCTTTAATCTCCTTTTCAGGAAGACTTTTCTTTGACAGCTCCACAATTTGTGAGAAAAAGCATTGTTACAGAACAAGATCATTAAATATGACTTGATTGATCTTTACAAATTATACTTGGTTATATATATATGTACATATAAGGTTGCACCTATTTACTGATCGCCGTCTATCCATTGTCACAAGGTCTGATGATGATTGTAAAATTAGATGAATAAAATTACTGTATCTTTTCTTTTAATTAGTAATTTCGGTTGTGATGAATGACTTTCCATAGCTTCACTTTATATAGATACACACACACTTTACATGCACACATACACGCACTATAATGTTTTTCACTATAATGTTTTTCAAAACGTTTATTTTGAATTGAAAGTCGTATGAATTTTTGAGTGAGAAAAAATTTACGACGTATACTACCAAACCCACATATTATATCTTTGGTATAACAGATGAAATACACAGTGCAACAAAATCATAAAAAATATTATCAATATAAACGTACTATGTCAGTTTTCATGTTAATATAATTATCTAATGTCTTCCATCCAGCGCATCCAAATATTTATAGTCAATCAATCGTGGTATCAAAGTATGTCTGCAATATCAACATTGATGATATACCTATTATCGCTCATTTGATCATAACAGAAACATATAGACGTGATTATATCAATCAGAAAGAAGATGGTTTACCTGATAGGTAGGAAAAAGAAACAGACAATTGGAAAAACCATTTCAATAAATGGATAGGGTGAAAATCCGAATGCGCAAAGTAGTAAAAGCTGTACAAGCTGACAGGCAGTAAATAAGTGTACTTTTCGCTGAGGAACTTTCCTGATGTAATGAGTAGGCGGATAAGCTTGCTGAAAAGTTTTTTAAGTCTAACAATCTTCTTTGACGTACTTACGAAAATGAAGCATAAAAAATTCTGAATCGTATTATATGCGTACCTCAATAATGAGAAATTTGCTAATAGAATAAAATTCTTAAGCTTTAAAGAATTTCAAATAAATTTCATTTCCCTCTCTAGTCCAGCCAATTTTATCATTCGTTACTATTCCCTTATCTTATCAAGCCAGCTATGATAATTTTATGATGAAATTTAATTGAAACACTTACTTGTTCAGTAATAAGTAATAATAATCGTTCAAACATTTCATTACCAGCTAAAGAGGTAAGTGCCATGTACAAGAATAAACCGTGTAATACGGATGTTGGTATCCACTGGAGAGGATACGGTAATAGTGTAAATGTTGAAATTAATATCAATAAATGTGCTATTAATGTAGCTAGCCGTGTCTCGCGCACATTCATTATTCTAAAATACTTTTTTGAATTTGTGTAATGAACTCAATTTTTGAAATAACTCGAAGTTAATAGTTGACCACTCAATACGATAATAGTGCTACTAGACAATAGATATGGCAATTCAAGAGTATTTTATGGCACGCAATATAAAATCAGCTCACTATTGTGCAAATTATTAACCATTCATATTCAAATAACACCTGACTTGTTTTAAGCTTTAAATTGCTTTGACATAGCTAGTCGTTGTTGATCATGCATTGCAAAGGGAAAATTTTTGACCAGATATTCTTGCAAATCAATCTGATATAAAGGAAAATAAATTAAGCGAACGTACACTTCATGGACATGTCCTTGCAGCACTCGTTCTTCCACATCAGCAAGTGCGCGCAAATGCAAGGGTGAGTGCGGTAGTGCACCGTGCATCCATGGCAAACCCATTACTGACAAGAAACAATTCAGTATTGCAACTACAAACAAATCCAGATTTTGAGCTGGACCTTTCTTTAATCTGAAATGACGTTTTAAATATAATATAATAGTGAAAATTGTGATCAGGATTTTCATGTCAAAAACACCTATATCATTCCAAAATGATTACAAATTGGTATTTGAACTAAAGTCAATAATTAATAATAGTAAAATAATAATAATAAGTATAATAATTAGCAGTAGTAATTCATAATAGCAATAGTTAGTCTCAATAATAATAATTAATAACAATAACAATTGTCACTAATAATTAATTAATGGTAATTAATTAATATTATTAATGTTTAAAACTTATCATGTAGCATTGCAAAATTTAGTATGCATGAAACGATAATAAAAATTTGCGATCATAAAAAGTAAAATAATAAACGAACTTATTTTGTGGATTATTTACAATAGCTGAGGTGATATTTTGGTCCATGAAGAAAAGAAAAGATAATGAGAAACCAAGAAGTAAGCATACGAAGTAGCCCTGCCACGGTAGTGAGAACACTGGTGCAACAGTGAATGTCGATAAATTTGTACGCATTTTGAACTTGTCTTCTGAAAAATGTTCCAATTTATTTGATACTAGGAAAGGTGCTAAAATTAATCAGAAAGATTTATAAAAGTCAATCAAAGAAAGCAAAAGTTAAAAGCAAAATATTCAATGAGCGCCAAGTCGACAGCAGGTAGATTTCAATGAAATTTGCGAATCAGCAATTTTCAATCATCTCTAACATTTGTTTTTTCTGATTTTTTTTAAACTTATTTTTCGAGTAATACTTAATTTCTAAACTCATAATTCAAATTATTTTAAAGCCAAATTCAGGTCTTGACTGCAAAATGGATGTGACAATGAATGACACTAACTTTCGATATCATAAAAACAGTAAGCACCCGTAAACGACATGATGAGAACTGAAGCAGGAAGTGCATAATCAGCTAGCCATTCACGACGTGACCTTGTCAAATAAGGCGTCTTCCTAAAAGACTATTTGACTGCAAATTTTTGCAAAATGAAATTAGGAATACACAGATCGATATGTCCTCAATTAGACAAGCACCAATATCTTGTTACTATCAGCAAAAATTGAACGAAACTTTGTCAAAAAATATAACCTGAAGTTATATAAAAAAAGACCAAGCCACAGTGTGCCAAACATAAGAAGCATATATAAAATTGAAGTGTCTCGATGGCAAAGTTTATCATACATCTAAAACAAAATGTTTGCTCGAAGAAACAGATATGTTCCCCGAAATATTGAGAAATTACGAGAACTATGAACCTGAACATCAAACATAACTCTACTTGCTATAAGTAAAATACTTCCAGTAACCTGAAGCTTGAATTTTGGTATGTTTTTGATTATCATGATCATTTGTTTAGATTCGCCCCCTTAATACTCATTAAAACTCTGATTCTACCTGAAATGGTGTACTCGTTTCCGTTATATCAACAACAGAGGAGAATGATGTCGAATTTAACCGGAATGAAGGCAATAGATCGTCGTCAACGCTTCCTTTTTTTCGCATATTGGTACTATCACAATTGTGATAGTTCTTCTTGAAACCTGAAACTTATCTCTTCATGCAATTCCTTTGCTCCTATTTCATTTCAGAACTCCTTCTAGAAGGAAAAAAAAAAGTGAAGTAAAAAAAGAATTTGAAAAAGATCTTCTAAAAAGAGATTCAGCTTTTGAAAGTTAACAAGAAAACTAAAGAAATCTCATACTGTAGTTATTTATGCTTCCATAAAGCAATGTTTCAAAATTCCAAAACAATTCGAAAGTTTTATCTGTTTTGCATCTGATAAACTCAAAATTTGATTCCAGAATGTGAACTTATTGATACTAGATGACAGTTCATTTGGACTGGCATGCTTAGTATCTCTATGTATTATTCCTCAGTTGCTATTTCTTTGTTGAATAAGCTTCCTTCCAAAGCATCCAGATAACAAGATAATGTCAGTTAGCTTTAATAAGCAAAGACAGCAATTTGACGTAAGCTATATTTCTAGGCGGTGCAGTGGTAGTATTTAAATTGGTACTTGTATATTCTTATAACTTGCATATTCTCAATACTCTTTTACTAGTTTCTATATGTGATATCATATTCTATTTCATGATATTATATATATGTGATATCATATTGATAAGCTTCTCACAGCTTTACCAAACTGAGATTCTGATGGAAATTGTTTTATGTGAAATTATGTGAAAAGTTTTTATTTGAAATTTATAGCAAAATGCCATGCGATATATCACTGTTATTGATTCTTAAATGCTACTTGTTGCATTCCGTAACTCGCCGTTTTCATTTCCTGCTTCGATAACACCCCTGTTACTTAATTTCTATGAATTTTCTCTTTCTTTTTAATGAAAAATCTAGAACTTTTGCATATTTTGCAATTCCAATTTTCAGCTAAAAAAGATAAACTGACTTGTGTGCAGCGCTCGTATACTTTCCACAGTAAATGCTATTGCAATAAATAGCGAAAACATTTCTTCTGCAGATCTGAAAAAAACATTGGCCGTAATAGCTAAACGTAAGGTTTTCAGTGGTTTTGAAATTAAAATTTACTTTATTATATGGAATTTAATGCTTTATAAAAAAAGCACAATGAACTAAAAACGATTGAGACTACCTGTCTTATAGATTTAGCTTTATTACTAATTAACACAGATTACCATGTATATTTTTAATCTTATGTTTAATTTTGAATCGAGCAATAGATTTTAGGCGTAAAAATGAACCTTGTAGCTAGCTTCATTAAACTGCACATATCAGTAGATGCATAAAGGATCAGAAAAAGTTGACACCATAGTCCAACGCAAGCATACATTGCAAAGAAATCATAACCAAGCTCTTCTGCTATTTTATATATCACTAAAATTTCAGTTATATATTTCAGAAAGAAAATACTTTACGGACTATCAAAGCTATCACGAAACAGTAGTTAATATTACTATCAGCTAATTAAATAGCCTAACAACAAATCACTATCAGTAATGTATTCAATAAGCAGTTAGTCTGAGCAATCTGACACCTTTAATATATATTGCTAGCGGTACTGTGGTCAACAATATAATCATCGGCTGACCACCAAATATTGCGAAAAATATTCCACCAAGTGCTTGAGCAGTAATTACTTTACGCACATCTAAAAAATAATAAAATACTAAAGAAAACAAATCTGCTATGTATTTCTGTGCTTCTTTTGTTAAGCCACAAAGAAAAAATTCGCTGAGTTTTTATTTGATTAATAAAAAATAAGTTTGAACAAATAAGGTTAAGACGATCTACAATTTACACTTGTCAACACAAATATTGTTGAAAGCTTGATAATAAATAATCAAAGATGATAATTCATTAATTTGATAAAAATTTTCTTTCAGCAATTTTGCAACACTGAACTTAAAGAGAAAAACTTACTAATACTTCCGTTTGTATTATCATCATTCAAAACACCAAAAGCAATTGCTGGCAGAAGACAAGCAAAATATAGGAATACTATCGAGCTAAACAATTTTTGGATTGTTTTCGAACCGCGCAATCCTAAAAGAAATATTAAGTTAATTAAGTCAAACTGTTAAAAGAAAGTAAAAGATAAATGAGAAATAACTGACCATCCAGGTAGTCAGAAGAATAGTATTTAATACGTCTAAGGAAATCGTTACTGAGTCCGCGGAAGAGATACCATTTCCCAGGACCAAACTAAAATATAAGCAAGTCATTATTTCCCCTTAGCAATACTTCAATCTTGACCTTCTTCATCACATACTGTATCTATCAAAAAGGAAAAAAAACACACACTGCATAACACTCTGGTAGAAGAAAAATAAAAGAGTCCATTTCTACTGAATGATAAACAAAAGAAACAATTGCATAATTGAAATCGAACTGACCAATTGTTCCTTAGCTTGACTGAAATGGATCGATGTTTTTCTTTCTCGCCATTGATTCTGATCCACTGCCAATTCTTTAGCTGCTGACAGTAATGTAGATCTAAGCATGAACAACAAATAACGCTTAATTTTTGGAATTTCATGTGAAGGAATGGAGTGAACGAGAATCGAAAAACGAAATTAATACTAACACATATGAAATTATAGGACCAAATGTAATACTTATTCTGAATCGCAAGCATTTTTTATCTATGTAAGAAGTCAAAAAATCATGTAGTACCATTCTAATAGATGATCGTAGCAAATGGAGATAATTAAAAGACTTCATATTTATAAATTTCTATATAATGAAAAATTTTCAAATTTTATTTCATTTGGTGCAAAGAATGAAGATCAAAATTACTATTCACCTAAATTGATCTACACTTTGCGCCATAACAAGTCGTTGTCTGATATCCATATCCGCAAAAAGTGTTGCAAATGTTCGTGTCGTCTCAAGTGCTGTCTTGGTGCCTTTCTGAAATAACAATCATTAGTAATAACATACATTTTAAACTGTGTAAAAAACTGTGTGCAAAAATTCACGTGCAAAAAACACTTAAAAAATTTCATGTTCCATAAGCTTCAAGAAAATGTCTGTTCACAAATCTGCTGTTCTACAAACAACTTTGTGAAAATGCCTTAATGAATTGCTTAAGAAAAGTATTCGAAATTCGTTCTACCGTAGCCACATACATTATTCACTTTCTATCGAAGCATCTCAACTGCTTTATCATAGAAAGGGCGCAAATTATAATTTTCCTTCTGCTGAATCTGCTAGGTACTTTACTATCAAATTGTCACTGTCATTGCATTTATTATCAGCTTTAACAAAAGCTGAATAAACTACGATATATTACTAACTACTAAGAGATATTGATGAAATATACTAAGATGTTCTAATAATAAGTGGAATGAGAGATACGAAAGCTAATTTAAAGATCTCAGAGAATATGGGAATAACAATATGGATATGTATGCATGGATGGAAAAATTCCAATTATCCCAGAATTGTTGCATGACTGGCGAATGTCAGAGTATTTCTCATCGGTTACATGAACTTGACTAATTCTGATATCACAAATCGTTTTAAGAGGACAGTAGATAACTGTCTCGGTTTGATTTTGTTGAAGAACCTATGTTAAGTGACGCGATAAGCATGAAAAAAGAAGGATAAACTTTGAATGTCAAATAATACCGCTCGTGAAGGGGCAATAACAATGATAATAAATCGCAGATCTTGCATTGTACGACCCAAATTAGTAGGATGGCTGAGTCGAGCAATTGCTACATGCCTGTGTTGCACCGTGTTTAACATACACCTGAATTCGGAAAAGCTTCAATTTTTAATGAAATTCACTTTTGACATATATAACAGAATTAAGCAAAACATCAACTTTTCTATCTAAAACTTCTGCAGTTGAGAGATGTATGGCAGACTCTACTTTTCTTAAAGTTAATTATTGTTTTAGTAACTGCATAGGAATTTAAGTTACCAAGTTTCCAAAATCATATATCCTAAAATATCTTATTCTTCCTCTGTTAGTCTCTGCTAATACTATAGCTCATTTAACGTAAGTAAAAAAAATGGTCAACACTCAATCAATATATGTTCAAGTATGGAAATAAGTAAAACTTTTACTTTTGAAATATAAATAAATTAAAAATAAAATTCCCACTCATTTTGCTTTGTCTTGATGTCATCGGAATATCGGACTGATTATAAACTGAGAGATAGATTCTGTATTTTCATCGTATTTTTCACAAAAGATTTAAGTCATTCACCTCATTTAGAATTCGGGTATAATTTTTGGTTTATCAAACCTCACTTTATATGCAGCGATAACATTCATCTATCAGGCAGTTGAATGATAAAAAGCCTAGTAAATCTTAAATGTCAGAAGTACGAGCAATTTGTATTTAGACAGTAAGAAAGATACCTAAATCTTTGATACAATTCAAAAGAAGAATAATATTTGCTTTATGTAATTAAATAATGAAATATAAAAATTAAAATTCGAAAATTGATTAATCCCTTACAAGGCACAAATCCAAGATTGATCGTAATCGAAAGTACCACCGACTGTGCCCGTTGTGCAGATACTTTGTACGGTTCGGCTCAGTATATGGACTATAATCAATGCATTTACACAGTTATGATAACAATACATTTCTGCCCAATAAAGGAATTCTAACAAAGGACAGAAAAAGACTTACACTGATTTCCAGAATCTTGCGTGAAAAGCACCGACCGAACTTGCTCACTGGTAAATTCTGGTTCCTGAATGTCCATTTCATGAATTATTCTAAAAGAGGATAATTGCTATTAGTTTGCAGTTATGCAATCACAGTTCATGAAATTCACTGCATGATTTCTACGGATGATATAAATGCAGGCCAGAATGTTGTTAAGACTTTAGACTCCTTCCGCTAAAGACGAAATTTGTGATTTCACTAAAATCAGTCTAAAAGCGAAGTCCCTTGATTCAAATTCCATAAATTTTCCAAAATAATTCACGAATTCCCATGAGATAAAAAGGAGATATTTCCTCAAGTCAAAATTGTTTATTAAATTTCTTAAATCTAAAATCATTTCACCCCCACGTACTTCGCAAAAATCTCTTCGAGAGAAGTTTCTTGCAAATCCAAAAGAAGAACAGATTTATTGAGCAAATGATCAATGTCCATCGTTGCCCGAATTTCTGATCCAAAATCCTTCATTGGGATTTTTTCGTGCTTCGCGTACATCAATGTTATATTATCGTACTCATCTGAAACGTATGGGATCGTTCCGAGAATGTCTCAAGAAATGAAATTCAAATAGCTTAAAAAAGCCCAAAAACTAAAGAACTGTCAAAAGTAAAGTTTTTCAACTGGTTCAAATATCTTTCATTTTGGGTTTAATTTTATAATTGAAGGTAATTCATTACTTCTGTAATAAGATCTGAAATCGAGTGGTGTTTGCTATTAAATTTGCATTTTTGAATTCTTAAATCAGGATATGATTATTGAAATCATTTGGATGTGAATTTATTGAAGCATAATTGTGGAATAACAATTTTATCATTGTTGATTTCTATGGAGGATATAAATGCAACCTAAAATGTTGTAAGACTTTAGACATTTTCCGCTAAGGATAGAATTTGTGATTTCCCTAAAATCAGCCTAAATTTAAGTTAAATCCCATGAATTTTCCACTCTTTATGATAGCATTTACCATAAATTTTGGACTTCTCAATTTAAAGAGGTTAAATGTTTAAATAAAAGCTGTCCGTAAGCATCACACCAATAGTGAAAAGTACAAAAATTATGTTAATGGAAAGTAGGAAATTATGTTCCGATAAAATTTTTTGTTTAATTTTATTAGTGAGAGAGACAATTGAGATGAATCTGAACAAAGCTTTCGTACAGGCCTGAGAAAATTCATATCTTGTTATTTGATAAATTATATTGAAATTGAAATAATACCATTTATAGCATTTACTACAAATTATGGATTTCGTAATTTAAAGAAGTTAAATTTCTAAATAAAGCTTTCAGACTTTCAAACTCCAAGTTCCTTCCTTAAAGCTTAACTGTGATGTACATAACAATTTATTAATTTTTTCAAATACAATTTAATTTATTTCTAAGCAAATGAAATGTGATGTCATTTCAGATCATCACCAATTTGCATAATTGAAAGACTGAATCTAATGATCTGCTGGAAGTGAACAAATTTTCTCGTCATATCTATTTCCAGAACATTCACACACTAATAATTAAAGTTTTATAGTTTTAGCAGTATTTATAGCAATTTGCATTTGTTTACTCCAAAAATGATTCAATGTTGTACAATTTATCCACTCAAACACTTCATTGTCTCAGCAGTTTGAAAATAATCATCTGAATGGCTCAAAATAAATTTAGGAAGTAGTTCTTTAGAACATAAGCCTTATTTCATTATATAAGTTTGTGCTCTAACACAAATAAGCAAAATAAAAAGCAAAAAATAATTTAATGTGCTAATTTACTAATAAGATATTTGGATGACAGCTGCTGATGAGTTGCTGAAAGCATTTTAATAAAAAACAGCTTTAAGCAATCGTTCCATTTTCAAATGTATTCTAAGTCCAAAAAGATTACTGCAGTGAAAGAATACGATCAAAAAGTACATTTATTCATTTAAGGTAAATGAAATCATTTATGAAATTCAAGCCAGATGATTCTCTGTAGAAATATTGCAAAGTTAATGAACCCGTGAAAGATTTTTTGACATGTAGATGTCTTTATAGTTCGAATTATTTAGTATATTACGGATAAAAATAATGTATGGACAAAAGATCTATGGAAAAAAGTCCATGGAAGTATGTAATCTGATGCGAAAGATTAAAAATGGAAAAATCTTCTAAAACAAGGAGTAATTAAATTTTCTTCTTATTGATTTAAAGCAAAAAAATTTATGTTGTTTTGTAAATTTTATATTAATTAAATCCATTCAGCATTTTAAAAGATACTTAATTGGATAGTTGAGTTTGACGACGTTGAGGATGAATTAGTTAAGAATAATTGATAAAGGAAGAATGGAGAATACGAACCTGCATTACTCCAACTAAGGGTATCAAGAGGTGATGTATCAGTTTCCTTGTCAAACAAACTGCTGCGATCTAGTTGAGACATTGAACCAAATTGATTGTTCATTTGGGAACCATCTCTAGTGCTAAATGTTTCGTTGCTTAAATCAAATGTCGTTATCTGTTGATGATTATGTTTATTTGTAGCCGTTATTCCTGTGAATAGTTCGTTTCTCTGAAAATTTTTTATGGATAACCAACTGACTCGTTTGGCAAGACACTGTGACAGTGGTATTTCCGAAATATCAGATTCAGGTACTGCTTGTCGTACCAGCCCACTTTGCGCAATCTTTTCTTCTGGTATTTTTTTCATGTTCTCTTTGATATGATTTAATGAGGTTGATTCTACCAGTGATCTGCTTTCCATGGTATCAAATTCCAAGACGAAGGGTAGTTGAGAACCACTTCTCTGGTATAATTTCTGGTCAGTAAAATCGATAGCCTGGATAGACCGTCTACGTTCGTCAATAAATGAAGTTCGTAATAAAGATGCAAGACGTGTCATAGGATTAATATGAAGTACACTTTCAATGGGTGACATTAGTGGACACGAAACCATTGAATTTTCCAATGTAACTGAAATTTGTCGATGCTTCGGAGCATGAGATAAAGCATGTGAAGTATGTTTCACTAGCAATCGCTCCATGTTTACCTCGAATGTTTTCACCTGGTGACTGCTTTTCCCCGTATTTGGAGCAGATGACGAGAGAATAATTTCGTCAGAGCCAAAAATGGAATCTTTGTTTTGATTTTCAGAACTACTTTCAGATGCATGTTCTATTTGTCCTTTCGGCCTTGAACTATGTGGAATTTGGAAATCTGTAGTAATGGTACTTTTCATTTGAAATAGTTAAGTGGAAATGTTGCTTTCTTTTTCTAGATAGATTTTCAATAAATAATATCAGTGTTAAAAGGATAAATGAAGTCGATTCCGTTCCTAAATGCAAATTTGATGAAGATAAATCAATGACGGATTAACAAGTAGCAATAACCAGTCTAAAGTAGTTCAGTACCAGCGTATTTATCCCAAATGGAATTAGTTTCAACATTCCTTTCATCTTAATAAATTTACTTATTTCTAATTTTTGTCGAAAAAAACTGTGGACGAGTTGAGGCAATTGCTTGATAACAGCAGTAGTATAATGGCATCATTTTGTTGTGCCATATCTGGCAATAGACTGGAAAACAGAGATAAAGAAATTAGCGACGGGAGTAAAATTAGTTCGGTTCATTTGCTTGTCAAATAGAAGAAAGAAACGTATGATATTCTCTTCTTTTAACACTCCGAGAAAAGCTTAAGAAGGGATAAAACAAACAGCAAAGAGCTAACGGATGAAATGGAAAACAAAGAGAAGCTTGAGAAAGGCCTGAGGAGGTGATGGAACGAGGATGAACGGAGAACTGTTTAATAAATTCGATACACTCATTCAATGTTAGCTATGCTTGAAGACAAGACAAGCTAGGCAGTCTAGTTATAAGCAATTAGCTCAAATGCGACTATTATCCAACAGGAATAGCACGCATCCACAACTGATCCGGCAATTGGACAATAAGGAGAACTGAATAAGGAGAACACAATTCGCCTTCATTCAATATCCTCTCAAATCTCACCACTACAAGACAGAGCAGAGTTGTCAAAAAAATTATTTAAATATGAAGCTGATTGAAAGATTTCCATCAAATTGATGTTGGTGGCTATACGTTTGTCTGATTAGTGAATCAGTTAGATGTTAACTTACCTAACAAGCTAGCATGCTAGACTACGCACTAGATATTGAACATTCTCATATCAAAGTATCCCGACATAAATATAAATATCCCTCTACTATTATTCTTCACATAAAAATTTCAGGATTTTACAAGATCCGTTATTTAACATTTGCTTTTTCTACAAGAAATCATTGTGTAGAGAAGGTACACACTTTAATCATACAAAAGGAAGAAAAATTAGAAAGCTTTTCATCAATTTGTTATTCTAATAAGTCGAAAAAACCGAAACGAAAAGTAACTTCAGGAAATATGTGCCATAATATCAAAAGTGAGTAAACTATTAAGTTTATGCGATATAACTTCTAAGCAAATTTCTTCACCAAAAAGGGAAGAAACATCTATCAGAATTTATTCATAAAATTTTTTTTCGATATGCTAATATCAGTAGAGTAATGATATTTTTTAAGAATTCATATGTAGCAATAGCGAAATGAACTTATTTTTTGATTCCTATTTCCATAACAACAAATATGCGCCTTTTAATGCACATTTGAAGTTTTATTTTGGATTCTCAAGTTTTAGTTTTATTTTGAAAAAAGAACAAATCAATGGTACATGAAAATTTCAGGCGATCTTATGCATCAAACAATGATCAAGTCCCGAATTTCTTCCTTATTATTCTCATCAAAAATGAAAAAAAAAACTGTGGTCCGAAAGAGAGGTGCAAATAAGATTATCCATTTAATCTGAATGTTCAATGCACTCTGACAAATTATATTCCCTCAACCTGAAAAGTTAATGAATGTTCGATTCTCGAGTGGTGATATGTGGCAAATATAAAATGTTAGTATGGAATTAATTTAATTCCAAAAACACTTATCTCAGCTTTTTGTATTGGATTGGAAATGAAAGATTTTTATGCTCAAAATCAGTTCTCTTAATTTAAATCACCACCTTATTCAATTTAATGTATGCATAAATCTCTTTAAGAAATCTCAAAATTTTCAATAAAATTTATAATTTCTATGAAGTCGATCTTTCACAGCAAGATAAATATGTACCGATAGCCGAATTGTATTAGATATGAGTCTGCAAAGGAGAGATCTATTATGTAAGAGAATTATCAATATTATTTAGAAGTGAATTGATAAAATTCATTCAGTTTGTGAGGGAAATCAATCATTTGCTTAGTGGTCACTGAAAATTAAAAAAGCATTTCTCAAAAAAACCGAGCTATTATAAATGAGAAATTACAGAAATCAATGTAGTATTTAAATGTGAACATTATACTTTACTTCTTTTAATAACTTACTTTAGCTGAAGTATTTCATAGTACTTTTATTAACTGCGAATGCTGTCTTTATCGATTATGAAATCAAAATTCCAGTCAAGTAAATCGGCAGTTATACTATTTAATTTCATTTCTGAATGAATGTTCGATTCTCGAG